ACCTTACCTTTTAGATTGAAAAATGATCATGAAACACATTCAGAAATCTGAAACCCAGACCAAAAGAGACTGTAGCGCCACTGATTTTATTATCTGTTTTTAATACTGGCTGTATTTATATGCGTGAAGATCACCGTGATTCCTATGAACCGTGATAAATTAGGTTATGTTTAATATAAGGAAAATAACAATTGTAAGGCAAAGCAATTAATGCTTATATCCAGACCTATTTCAAATTTAATTACGAATGTTGTTCTTATCAAACCAACTTCTATGTTCCCTGAAGATGTTATAATTAAATACGTTCATTTGTTTGATTGTCATTGGCAACACAATCAGATTAGTTAGACTAACATAAAATGTTCGCGCTGAGTTTCATCATCGGACGTCATGGCAGAATACGTAATTCCACCCGCATCACCTCGATGTCCGGCCCAACTGAGCGTTTTTAAGGCAGTTTTTGCCGTGCACCACTATGTGGAACCAGCTGCCCACTGAAGTATTTCCGAACCAATTCGACTTGAGCATTGACACTCCATGGGCACTCTCAATTTGCCCTGTGTTCTTAAAAAAAACTAAGGTAGTTTATATATGTTACATATTTTATTAAAGTACATCACATAATATATACATTATTGTAAAATATATGTCGGTGAACATAAATTTTACAAATAATTCCAAAAAAGAGTAGATTTTTTTTGCAAAATTTAGTTTTTACCTACTAATTACTTTATAAATGTGATTATATTACATAAATGTACAAAGTTCTAATAACAATTTAGCAGATGAAGTAAACAGAAGAAACCGCCTATCACAAAGGACTCGGTACTTCCCTAACTAAAATATTTCCTACAAAGTACAATAATAAGGTTATATTATACGGAATGTGTAGTAGAGTCAAATATGGGTGAGTTTTGCACGTGTCTGTCGGACCGGTCTTATCTTAATATGTGCAATAGATAATACTTGTGTTACAAATAACAAGTACATCCTTAATACATACCTTATTCGAATAATTTTAACTTCATAGTCAACGCGTAACTTATTAAAGATAGAAACGCTAACTACGCGATATTTTAGTTTTAGCTGAGTGTTTAAAGAACATAGGGTGCGATTTTTCGAAGTCAACATTGAACAGTTATCGCTTTCAAACAGTTAGTGAATCGGTTCAGAATATCCTCTCAATGGTTGGTCCCTGATTTTGATTAAAAATATAATTGATTCATGTTCATTAAACTTAATGTATTTATGAACATCAGTATCAAATATGGTTCTAAATTTACACTCGGTTCAAAGATACTATATTTTGTCAAAGTCTCATTAGTTACATTCACTTAGTGAGAATAATTTAATTTAAGGTTTAGTTGTGAATATCGTGTTAATATTATTTTATAATAAGCTGTTTAAAATAAAAATATTAGTTTAAAAAATAATAAAATATGTAACAACGTGTGAAATTGGTTCGAAAATTTATTTATTTATTTATACTAATAATATAATACATAAAAATTATAAGGGATGCCAAACCTTATCGGTAACAAGCGATTTCTCCAGGCAACCCTATTAAGGAAAAGAACTAAAAAAAGAAATATGATGTGCGCAAGAAGCACATAACCAAATCTTTTAAAAACCAACCTTAATCTAAAACAAGTAAAGAAAATTTAATAAAATAAACTAAAAACTAAAAAGCTAATCTCTCGGGTTCACGAATTGCGATGCAATACAAAATAATAAGAAATACAAGAATTACAAAAGTCACGATTGAGCAGGATAGGATATGGTTAAGAAATGTTTATGCAGAAGAGTTTTAAAAGATGCTAGGGAGGTAGCCAATCGTATGGAGTCGGGCCTATTCCACAACTTAATGGTGGAGATCCTAAACGAATTTCCTAAGAAGTGTGAGCTGTGAGATGGAATTTCCAAAAAGCATCTATTAGAGGAGCGTATATACGAGTACGTAGTTGGTCCCAAAGTTCTGTCACTGGCACATTATTTCTATATTTCGAGCAGGATTTTATAAAAAAGTTATTGCATTCTATTTTGGAATGTTTGACTATTGTTTTAAAACAAAAACAATAACTTTCAGTAAGTTTTCACGACGGAGTGGACATTGAAAGAAGACCGAATAGTTGTTATTGTGTTGCACCGCTGTGGGCACTCGCCGAGTACCATTTTCAAGTTGCTCAAAAATTTTAATATAACGCTTAGGTTTGTGTACGGTACTATTGATAGGTACCTTGAAGTCTCCAGTGTTGAGGACAAGAAAATAACTGGCCGGCCACGCTCCGCAAGAACACCAGCAGTAATCAAAGCTATCAAAGCGCGGATAGTAAGAAATTCTGTCCGAAAACAGAAGTTGATGGCTTTGCAGATGGTTGTCAGTAGGAAAACAATAAAAAAGGTTTTAAATGAAGATCTTGGTCTACGAGCATACAAAAAAAAGTGGGAACTTACTTAATGCTCGTCTAAAAGCAATAAGGCTTAAGAGATCGCGGGTGTTGTTTAAGCGGTACGCGAAAAACCGACACCGTGATATCCTCTTTACGGACGAAAAAAATTTCGATAATGAAGAGAAGTACAATAAACAGATTGATACAGTGTACGCTAGGAGTTCTGAAGAAGCTAAAAATAAAGTTCCAAGGGTACAACATGGACATCATCCATCATCAGTAATGGTCTGGTTGGGAGTGTCCTATTACGGGCTAACTGAGGTTCATTTTTGCAAAAGGGGGTCAAAACCAGAGCTAAAGTGTACCGAGAGACGGTTTTGGATCGCCTTGTCAAAGACCTGTCCAGCACCCTATTTGCGGGACATCACTTCGTGTTCCAGCAGTACTCTGAGCCTGCATACAAAGCCAAGACCACTAAAGCCTGGTTTGAGCGTCAAAACATCGATTTAATTAGACATGAGGATTGGCCTTCCTCCAGTCCGGACCTTAATCCTTTGGACTATAAATTTTAGCAGGTCTTAGAGAGGAAGGTCTGTGATACACCCCATAAAAATTTGGAGAGTCTGCAGTCGTCTTTAAAAAACTCAGTCACTGAAATCGACATGAATATGGTGCGTGCTGCGATAGACGACTGGCCGCGGCGCTTAAGGGCCTGTATTAAAAATAAGGGAGGTCATTTCGAATAAGTTTATGCTATTTCTATTCCTTAATTAATGTACTATGAATTGATATATCACTCATTAAAAACTGATCAGTACTTTTGTTTTTATGATTATTTCCATTTATGACAGAACTTTGGGACCGACTACGTATATAAGACCTGAGAATTTACTGCCAGTTCTCAAATCAAGGGCTTTGCCGAAAACTGGCAATAAACTCTCGGTCATTGCGCGCTGTAGTACTCCTGTAGTATTGTGCTATTATTATTTCAATGCAATGAAACTAACGCCTCTGTCAACATAGCCTATTCTGAAGCAGAAACGTCACAACTCGATATAGCGGTGATCTCATAAGGCACGCGATAACGATTCTCAAATACACCGACTCCTGTTTAACGCGATGTAAGCCTGTGAGGTGTAAGAAGACGGTAATCTTATCGCGGTTGTGAGGGTCCAGAATCGAGGCTTTGACATAATTAGAACAGCTGCAGAGTTGGCCAAGTCTTTTCAACGTTAAACTCATCCCTGGCCTGGTTTGATTCCCGGCTATGCACTAATGGACTATCAGGAAGAAAACCAGCATGTCTTAGACCCAAAAAGGCTGTGTCAGGCACAGAAGATTGATCACCTGCTTGCCTATTAGGACAGATACAGGAATGTATCAGAGTCCCAGTTTGAACGAAATGTTTTAATCAACACTTGTAACAAATTGTTAGAAATTTAACGACTGGGTGAATGATTTGTATGGTTTAATGACCTGACCGTAAATTGACACCTTTAGTTTTACTATTAAATGATAGATAAAGTATGTGCGTCAATAATTTCGGTTGATAATTGCTAGGTAAGCACCGTGACCAATTAACGCACGGCCTGTGCCGACGAAATTCATTTAAGCAATTGTAGTAATTGACTCGAGTGCGCGCCTTCCGGAGCTCTCATCTGCCTTGTCCTGTTTTGCTATAGATCACAATCAGTACAAGGAACCATGTCTTGTCTCGTTTCATTAACAAGAAAAGTCTATATAATTTCAATTAAAATTATAATTATCTAGCACTGTAATTTAAATAAACACAAGACCATATAGAGAAATAATTTATCATTTTCCTATTCGATACCAAATAAGGCTCATTATCAAAATTCAGCGCCCACGAATATAATAACTGGTAACTAAGAAGTACGTCCTTGCCACAAGGTCTAGTCTTTCCGCCCACCATCAGCATCTACTTCCAAGTAATAGGCAACTAATCTTTCTTAGTTTTATTATTCACGCAGGTTAACTCTTATGACATAGTACCAACGTTTTATATATTGTTCCGGCATTTGTTTGGTTATAGTAAATGTCAAAATCGTCTTGTGTTTTCAGATTGGAAACAAGGATTTATTATCTGTAGAATACTAAGGTGTAGTTCGGAGTTGCGAAAACCCTGTTATCTAGGCGGTTTGATCTGTTTGCGTTATGTGTTCTTTACCTTTGATAACTAGCCGCCGCGTGCTGCGAAATGATGCGAAATATTTCCGGAGTTGAGGAGTGTTCTATAAATATATGATTCGAAATTGCTCGTGGGCGATGATTTCGGGCGAAGTCGGGCGGTGTGGGGCGGCAGTAGCGCGCGATCCGTCGCGGCCGGCCGCCGTACGCCGCGCGCAACGAACGAACGACTCGCACTCCCGCGCACACGAAAACTTCATCGCGATCGCGATTAACGATACCAATCCGCCCCACGACACCCGAACCCTTTCCATTGTCTTCAATTTGCAATTTATTTGCGAGGGCGGATTATAACGAATAAATCGACTAACAAACTCCAACCACGAAGGTGCCCGCGTCGCAAAAAGCGCAACACAATAGAGTAAGCGTCTAATTATAACGTGGTTGAGTTAGAACGACGAGATGCAGAATATCGACCCACTGGAGTTCGCCAACATTCTGGCCACAGAACTGTGGTGCCAGCAGGTATAACCTCTAGTAGAACTCCTTGTAGAAGCGTTCGTTCAGCCGATTTGCACACCCCACTTACCTCTTAGCGAGGATGTAACTAGGTCACCAATTTAGAATGCAATTCTTATTCAATATTTGCGGATATTCCTTCAGCTTATTATTGTATTAAAGAAAATCTGTGTAAAAAGGCTTACTATATAGTTGATATAAGGGCCTGGGACTAGTGCTAGACAGGATACTTCTAATTAATTTGTGATATTTGTTTTAAAATAAGTGTTGTTTGATGATTTGCTAAAGAGTACCGAGAGTTTTTTACGCCGGCTTTTTCTCTCGGCCTACACCCTCTTGTCTTCTTTGCCGATGAGTAGGGATGCCTACAAATTCAAATTTAATGACGTGGAATAAGTGATACATGTATCTTATGTTCCATAATAAACATATTTTATATTTCTTACTCGGATAAAACTAAAAACTATAAGTCATCCTCTTACAAATGTATATCTTAAAATAATAAACGAAATTGCTCTGGGCGAGTTGTTTATTTTATGTTTTGATACGAAGGATAGGTGAAAGATTTATTGCTTTGAAACTGGAATCTTTCAGTACGCGTGTGAATAATAAAGTACCCACAGAGAGTACTTCAGTTTATAGAAGAATTTTTAGGTCTTATATTTTCATAGCATGTAAAATTCTTGTTAATTTCAATATCGTCTTTATTATCAAGTCAAGATGCAGTAAAATGTACTGCTTTGATGATGACCAAAGCATTCCCAATAAATATTTTCTCAATTAAAACTTAAATATAGGTGTTTTGTAATCTAAAGATTAATATATCTTTCTGCATATTGCTTAATTGGTGGTTTGTTTTGTTTATTAAATAATCTGTGTTGTTACATATTTAATTATTGTTGATAAAAGTTTATTTGGAATGTGGAACAATATTCAAAACAAATATTGCATAACCACGTGTTGTCTTTATCTTATTACCTTGTACCTTTTCATCAATTAGAAATTTTATAAATTAACTGTGGTTTTCATTAAATTGTCTAAATGTTTCTAGTACTAGTAATTTGTAGCTAAATGATTCCTTTTCTAATTCCAGTTGGCAAACCTCGAAGGCCTCCAGTCGGGGGTCCCAACACGCACGACGGCGACCATCACTCCCACTCAGTTGCGAAACTTCGAGCAGACTTATATCGAGTTGAACAACTGCCACAACGACCAGGCAAGCCACGCTGGATTCGTTCCACCGTCAGTCACGCAGCCCAATTACGGTAAGTTACAAATAAGACATCTTATCAACCGTTTAGAAAATTCCTAAAAGAAACTTCTGTTTTAGTGGGAAATAGATTTTACAAGGAAATGCTTGTATATTTGGTTTGTGCCATAACTCTGTCCATTCAGTTTGGATTTCAGTTCGTTATTTGATTGCACAGGGATATCTAGTATCATTTCGATGTCGATGCAAATGTCAATTGTACTAAATCCCACGTGAGACCGGTTTGAGTTTCAATTGCAAATAGAAACACGTTTTCTATTTTATAATGTCTCGTTATTTTGATAAACATTAATATTTTTAGGCGAGCAGTGTTGGTCTAGTGGCTTCAGCGTGCGACTCTCATACCTGAGGTCGTAGGTTCGATCCTCGGCTGTGCACCAATGGACTTTCTTTCTATGTGCGCATTTAACATTTGCTCGAACGGTGAAGGAAAACTTCGTGAGGAAACCGACATGTCTTAGACCCAAAAAGTCGACGGCGTGTGTCAGGCACTAGAGGCTGATCACCTACTTGCCTATTAGATTTAAAAATGGTCATGAAACAGATTCAGAAATCTGAGGTCAAGACATAAAGAGGTTGAAGCGCCACTGATTTATTTTTATTTTATTATTTTTAGGCATCCTGAACACGGTGGGCTACTGCGATTCGGGCCCGACGCCTCTTCATGTGTCGCCGGGCCCACTATCAGCCAGCGGCGACAGCAGCAGTAGTCCGGGCTTACCAACGCCCAAACGTCGCAATATGGGAGGCCGGCGGCCAACCAAAGCCCCGCATGACATCTCACCAGAGGAGGAAGAGCGCAGAAAAGTTCGTCGTGAACGCAATAAAATGGCAGCCGCTCGCTGCCGAAAACGAAGACTTGATCACACAAACGAGCTCCAAGAGGAGACTGACAAGCTGGAAGAGAAAAAACAGGCGCTGCACGATGAGATCAGAAAACTCAACTCCAGCAGAGACCAGTTGCAAGCCATACTGAACAACCACATGCCCCTGTGTCGGCTAAATAAGAGGTCGTCTAGTCCACCTGATGTCAAACCCTTCCAAGATCCGTATATGCTGCCGGATATACCAGAAGATGGTGTCAGAGTCAAGGTGGAAGTCATGGACCCGGCGATCGATCCCGTCCCCATACTTGCTTTAGATAATGACATGTTTACGCCGACACCGAACAAAAGGTGAGAACCATTAATATCGCTTTTTTGTCGAAAATTTTAACCTTAAGTGAACAAAAACATAATTAACATGCAATTCAGTTTGTTTTTATTTGGTCTTTATCTTCGTTATAATATTCACGCTTGTTCTTCTTGATATAACTTAGATTTCTGTTATTAATTTTTTAAGTAAGAAATACATCTATTAATAGGAGAATTTCCAGACAACATTTTTAACACAGTTTTTTGACGAGTGCTGACAGATTTCATGACACGCCCAAAATATCCGTCAAAATACATAATTTTCATCGACAGCTTGTCGGGCTTCGAAACTGCATAATTAGTGTTGACAGAAGTGTTTTAATATTTGTTCATTATTTCAGGATAATGTTGTCGGCGGCAAACCTAGCTGTGGTGACGAATGCTACGTCTGTGACGTCACTCGACACCCCGCCCATCATGAACAGACCCAACAGACCTAACTTCCTCCAAGTGCCTCTTAGTGTTACACCTGCACAGGTAAACAATCTTCGAATATTTCACTAAGACTTTGAATTTTTGCAAAACGTATAGAGTCTGGCTAATGAAAGAAAATAATTAAATTATTTCAAAACTTTCGGATGGCAACACAGAATGTCATTGAATTTCTTAGGTAAGTATGATTTATTGTCTTGATACTTCATGCAATTACTCATTTTTATTTCTATTGTATATTTTTTCCGAATAGTTAACAGGTATAAATAGCCTAAACGTTGTTTTATTGATTTTTTGGATTCTGATTTTGATTATTCCGAATAAAGTTGTGTTTTGTAATAAATATAGTTTTAGTTTTCCATGCAATGCTAGTCATTTTAAGTATCAATAGTAAAAGTATTTAATTTCATAGAAATACAGTTACTATCAATGTCAAAAATAATAAAATAAAATCAAGTATCAAGTTGATCCACAAAATATATCAAACTTTTAGGAATACCATACTATTTTTTTTTAATTTGCCGCGCTTCGTTATCTTCTTTCATTAGCCAGACTCTAGTAACAAAATAATATAACTGTCAATATTTACTCTCCTATCCAACTATTTTAACTACAAATATAATTAATTTTTTCAAAAATCTAATCAAATCATTCTCATTTCAGATACACAACAATAAAGCGTTAGGCAACAACAAAATCCCCGGCATCGAAATCAGTACACCCAGTAATGGGATTCCCTTCAACTTCGAAAGCCTCATGGAAGGTGGAACCGGTCTCACACCGGTACATCCTCAGCCCCATCCTTGTTCCCAGCAACAAAGATCAGCCCCGGATCTGGCTTCACCTGATGGCCATAATAGCCTCGTCAGTCTCTGAAGGAATGTTCAGTAGGTACCGAAGTAGTACCTTATTTCATATTTTCAAACTACCCTCAATTATAAAATCAGATTTTCATTTCGATGGAAAATGTATTCAAGGATTTTTTTTAACTGTTTAAAGCGTACGAGTTATAATTGTAATGAATGAAAGAAAATATTTTTATACATTTATCTGTATTGGAAAACAACTAGAAACTTTTCTAGACCTATCGTTTCCAAAACGTTTTAACCCGCACAAATATAAAATACGAAAGCGTATTAACTGTTGGTGTAATTTTTATTCATTTCTTAATTTTCCACATTATTATTCTTGTTAAATTAAATTTGTGATTCCGTGCCTTTGTTGCGGGTCACGTGAGACGTGTCCGCACGGAACTTAGTTCGTATTTATTCCCCCTATATCTATCTATCTCTGTCTGATGAACCTCCGTTGATCGGCTATCTCTTTCCCTCTATTCGGGGGTTCGTACTTGCTCACTTTTCGCTTTGTATAGTGTAAGGCGATGCCTACGAGAGTCAATTCATTAGCTGTACGCTGCAATATTTTTATATGATACAAATGTATATCTGGTAATAATAATTGTGAGAATAAAACAGAGTTTTATTTGAAGCATTACAACGAGTTGTGCTTGAAAAATCTCTTGCAGGCGCAATATGATCTTGTCATAATAAACGTCGTGCCATTTCGTCTACCCTCAGTAACAGAATAATAGACTAACAGCAATATTACTTAATATATGAATGTAAGTTAGCTCAATATCGTAATTTCTTACCGTTCCATTGGATTAGGTAGATTAATTAAGGGATTATTTGTGATACGTCCAGTGAGCTCTGCTTGGAGGATATTGGCGCCCGGTAGTTGAAATTTTTAAATTCTTGAAATCTGTAGGCTTTTGCGGGTGCCAATATTATACTGAATATTTTAAGGCAATAACTAGATTAAGAGCACTTATACGCATAACTTAGACCAAATTATTGTTTTATGTGCTTTATAGTGTAATTAAAATAAGCCAAATATTGATTTATTTAGGTTAAGTTAACCTCCGTTCCCGAAAAGTATTAATATTGGTTAGTCCACGGAGTATTTATTTGTATTTAATGCGAACGGTGCGATTTGCCTTTATATAGTGAATTTTAGAGATTTACGCATAATAATAGATTTAATGAGATGTAATTTTTTTAAATGTTTTTGTAACGCCTTTCTAGAATACTTTTGTATTTTTGCAATTGAAGCAAAGCAATATGTTTGATAAAATTATACCGCCATGTAGTAATTTGTATCAGAGCAGAAATATAGATTTGTTTACGTACACCCGATAGTGTCTTTTATTCGAACCCAAAATTCCCAATATATCTTACGACTTAAGCGGGCAATAGACGGACCGCATGTTGCAGCCGTTACCGACTGCTCTAAGCGGTCGCCGCACGGCGATCTGCAGTTTTCATACTAAATTCATATTCGCAATACACGGACCGCTCGAGCAGTTCCTGAGCAAACCGCATGTTGCAGTCGGTCTTGACTGCAACATGCGGTCCGTCTATGGCCTGCTTTACTATAACAATTATAAAACCAAATTTTAAATATATAAAAATATAGCCATTCTGCTGAAATATTTATTTGAATCATTCAAGGGCAAGTAGTTTGAATAAATCGGTGCAAAATAAAATCTTTCCTATCTGTCTCGTTCTTAGTCTATATATATATATTATTTTTTTTTTTTTTTTTCTAAAAAGTTCTGCACCGATCGAGCTGAAATTTTAGCATGATATACAATCCACATCAAAGATTGTTTTTATCTATTTTACGCATCAGTCACATACCCGCGACCGCGAGCTGTATACCAGTGACCGCGCCATCTGCCGGAAGCGAAGAAAACACTTGCGCCACAACGAAGCGTGGCGGAGTACAGCTAGTGCTTCATAATTGTAGCTAGCGAGAGTCCACGTCGTAGGGAGTATTTTAATTACCTTCCGTTTAGCTAAAGTTTAAAAATTCAGTCGGATAATATGAAGATTTTAGGCGAGGAAGTAATATTAAACACAGGTATTTCACTCTCAATTTTATTCAGACAAATGTGTTTTTTTTCAATTCAGTGGCGTGGTTTAGATGAGCTTATAAGCTAAACCATGTTATACAGAAGAAAAAGACGCAAAGAAGAAGTGGCTATTTGATAAGGGACAAATGTGTTAGTAGTATATAAGCGGTGAATAAAAAGGTGGATAGAAGAAATAGAAGCGGTAGCAGGAAACGAATGGAGAAACAGAGCCATAGACAGAGTGAGTTGTAAAAAGCTGGAGGAGGCCTTTACCCATGAAGGGGGTACTGAAGGAAGCTAGGATATAGGATAGCAAGTAAAAGGAAAAAAAATGTATAATAATCTAAGTATAGGTATCCTATTATATTTTTTGTCATGATTGGAAATAATACGGCTTTATTATCGTCACTGTAGAATGATAACCTCGTATGACAAAAAAACCATTTATTTTTTATTCTTAGACTCTTATGTCATTTAAGTGGTATAATCATGAAGTAAGGACTTATTTATGTTATTAATAAATATCGAAAACTATGGACAAAAACACATAATAATATTTTAACGAACATTGCCGAAATGAAACATATTTTTCGTTTCGTGTAATGTTTGGTTCTCTGGACCTACGAGGTTATCATTCTACAGCGACGTTATTATTGTTATATAAGCGGTGTTCAGAAAAATATTATTTAAAACAGTAAATTTGTTAAAGATTATTAATTAACGTAGTTCAGAGGTCGTACTTTGACTCTGTTTTTTAACTTATTCCTAATCGCCATATAAATGTAGAATAACAACTCGAAGATGCTTATAATACTGCATCCCTGACACAATCCAAAAACCCCTCCAAGGTTTGCTGAAAATAGTTGTTAAATCTTGATTTCGAATTTTTCTCGGGAACTAATGATACATTAAGGTGCGTCCACGTCTGGCGAATGTGCAGCTCGCGAGCCGTTTGCGAGCTGCGCGCGTGCATTTTTGTTCGAGCGCCGCTCGCGCGCAGTTCGCTCGCAACCTAAGCGCCGTGCGTTTATCTAAATCCCTCCCACCCACCATTTGATTTCAGTAAATATCTTAGAAGATAATATAATTTTATATTTATTATATTTTTTTAATAAAGACTGCAACAAAATAACAACGGTATGTAACAAAACAACCCACAGGCGCCTTTATGATTTTAAGTGCGGGGAACAGGAACAGGCTGGCAACGCACTTCTGGATGTGAGTGTCCATGGGCGGCGGTATCACTTAACATCAGGTGAGACTCCTGCCCGTTTGCCTCCTATTATATAAAAAAAATGTGCGCGTTTAATACTCGCTAGTACGGTGAAGAAAAGCAAGGTGAGGAAACCGGCATAGACCCAAAAAGTCATCTGCGTGTGTCGGGCATAGAAGGCTGGTCTCCTATACCAAGTCCAGGGGTTGTAGAGCTGGTTTTTATAATATTTACTTACAAAAGAAGATGACAACTGACATTACTGTCTCCTGTTTCTTCTTTACGTACGACGTTCTCCGTAAGTTAAAGTTTAATAATGATGTACTTTTGTTGAACACGATACCTTCACTGAAAATAAAGTAATTTTCGTTATAACGTAAAAGATATTAATTCAAGCTAGTGACTATGAGGAAGAGATTTTAATTCAGGTAAAAAATAGGTTTTCCTATCATCGCGCGTAAGCCTTCTAAAATGAAAATAATCGTGTTCATCAGTTACTGGTGATTCGTAGCGAAGATAAAAACTTTATAATAACATAATTCTTTATAAGATATATAAAGTAATAATATTTTTATTATTACTTTATAGGTTAAGAAAATTGTAAATACTGTATTTGTGTAAATATAATCTTATTTGAATTAATTGTAAATATATTAAATTTATCGTATATAGATATATAGTATTTTTTATTAAGTAACAAAATAAGAAATACAGATAAATATAAAGGATAACATATATCTTCAAAGAAAATGGAAATGGGCTAGATAAGTGGTCACAAACAGGCGACAGGTGTACACAAGGGTCACCAGGCACAAGATATAAATACATATTATATCAATTTGTAGTTGAATACAAATTTGTTATTGATATATAAGGCCTACAACGCACTAGCGGCTGGCCACGATGCGGTGTGCCGCTGCGGTAGGCCGCGGTATATACGGTCTGCCATAGCGGCATGCCGTATTCCGACTAACCGTCCCTATTGCGGCACATGATGGACGTTGAAGAAGTTGCGGCAGTTATTTATTTATATAATCGTAGAAAATATCGTCAAAAAAACTCTGCGTAGTGTCTAGCGCAAGGAACAAGCGATGACTGAGGAGGGTAGGACGCGGTATTTGCGGCTAACCGCGCCGAGTGCGTGGAGGGGACGCGGCGCGCCGCATCATTCAACCGGTGCGGCTCGTCGCAGCCCCAGAACAACCGCAGCGGTTGACGGTTGTCCGCAAATCAGTGCGTCGTTATCGTGCGGTTTCATGTAATATTCGATGTGCGGCCTACCGCAGCGGCACACCGCAGCGCGGCCAGCCGCTAGTGCGTTGTAGGCCTAATACGAAGACGGGTTGAATGAAATGTTTCTCGATTTTTCTACAACTTTTCAGACTTTTCAACCTTTTCAGCAAGCTAAAATGTGATTTAAGATCGTTTCAAGAGATGCTCTTTCACATACCAGAAAATTGGAATTTACGTAAAATCACCTGGAGGCTGAAACATTTCAGGCTGTTTCAGTACAAGTTTACATGGTACAGCTTTCAGGAAACCCGACTTCTGGAGTCTGGACTGATTATACTCCTTTGATAAAGGAACATCCTAGAGAGTTACATCTAGGTGTGGGAGAAGGACGGAATGATACGCGAAAGAGAAGGAAGAACAGAAACTTCTGGAAGCCAGACTGATCTTGCTCAGAAAGTTCTTGAATATCGTTCAGGCACTGGAGGCTGATAACCTACTTGCCTATTAGATTTAAAAATGATCATGAAACAGATTCAGAAATCTGAGGCCAAAACCTTAAGAGGTTGTAGCGCCACTGATTTATTTTATTTTTATAAATTATTTAAAAAGAGAAGAAGATTTATTTTATTAAACATTGATATTTATGGATACGTTTTCTATCCGATCCCCTTCATATTTCACAACAATATTTACTTACTAAGGATTTTCAGCGAGTGTCTCCAGCGCATTTAAGTCCCCGAGCATCACCTCTGATCGATAATTAAACGATTCACAGTCGCGAGGACAGTCGCAGTCGTCTTCGTGCCAGTTAGTCAGTTGAACTGTTAATTTTAATAAAATATATTCAAATTTGTTCCACTACTGAATCAGTACGGAACGACTGATTTTTCAATAATTTCATTTTTAAAGATAAGTAATTTAGGTAATAGAGTAACTACATTCAAACGAAGACTAATAATAGGATAGTTAAAGTTTAGTTTTTAAGAGATTTATAACAACAAAAACCCGCATGTAACGCACCTAGTGTTGCCCAAATGCAAGACCAAGACGAGACTTAGGTCAGTCTTGGTATTGGTCTTGCGACAATACACCTGGTCTTGATCTTGGTCTTGGTATTGCGCTCTCAGTCTTGGTCTTGATCTTGCAGCAAGAGTCTCGCAAGTCTCGCAAGACTTGCAAATACCTATTAGCCTATTGCTATTTATTGAACACGTTAGTTTAGATTTTAAATTATGATTCGCACTGTAAGACGTATGTATGTAGTTGACTCTGTAACTACATACGTCTTACAGCGCGAATAATATTTTAATCAACAATCTAGCCCTAGCCTGCAAATTAAAAAAAAAAATTGAGTTTGGCGGGCTATCCTATGCTACCTATGCGGCTAAAATAAGGAAGTGCGTGTGTGTTGAGATTAGCAGATTTCATTACAGTGTGCGTAGGTACATTTTTTAGGCAATTTGTCGTACTCGTGACTGGCGCGCTTTGCTACGTAGTCGTTAAAGTATGTGTAAGTAAGAAACGATGAAGGTACCTACTTCAACAAAATTGTATTCTTTAGAAAAATAACGACGATTATTTTTATTTATTTAGTAAATCATCGCGGAAGACAATAATCGCTACTAGAGTAGGTACGATAGAAGTTGATAAATCGACACTGCAAATCTCGATTTTTGGAAGTGTGTGATTTTAAAACAAAATGCGTAAAGCAATATGACCTCGCTCATATTTGGAGCTTTTCCACGTTTCAAGTTTGTTAAAATCACCCACTTCCAATTTTGCAGTGCAATGTCCTTTAAAAAGGTATAATAGGTTATAATAATATAAACTAGGTATATTTTTATTACTTACAACAATTTTTATAAAATCTACCTATCCTTAGGACTACATTCTTCCTTGCGAGGACAACATAATCTATTTGCGTCCGTTCTGAGCACCCGGAAACTTATTTTATTCTTTAGAACATGGGCAGTGGCGGCGACCTTTGACATGAAAGCGACGGCGGCAACACAAAGTCTAGAAGCGGACTAAATTTTTACCTATTTTGGTGGGGTTGTCAATGTTGGCATTAGCACAGAAAAATAAAATTAAGTAAACACAACGTTTATCCACTTTTTAATAACTAGGTATCCACGATAGAATATTTTTTCTACTAATTTCCTAAGTACTCAGTCTAAATATCTTTTTCATAATTTTTGTTTTTCAATAATTTGTTGTGTGTAATTGAATGGTAAACTCTAAATCTTACTTAATAGCTTTTTTTTAAAATAAACTTATGGAAAGCACTGACATGGCATAAACACTTTTCAATTATGCTGCTCACATTTTAGTACCTAGGTATATCACTCACTATATATTATTTACCGATATTAACAATTCAATTCAATAGATGCAATACCTACTTAGTTATTAATTATCATCTCGCCCGACAGCTTTAAACGCTGTAGTGTTCGAATTCGAGCCAGTGTGAGAATGTATTTAAATACAAGAAACTCAGAGCATTCAATTTATACCTACCTACTGCTGAGACATCTTCAAGGTCATTTAATTTTATCCTCCTGTACCAACTCTACCAAAATAGGTAAAAATTTTGTGTGCCTCTGTCCGGACTCTTTGTCGGCGAATGCGGCGCTCAAACAGTGTCAAATGCTGTGAAACACTCGTTGCAAACCGCGGCCTCTTTGTCGGTAAATTATCAAATAAGTAGGTATATAATACACCGACCGACCAACAGTTTATTCGCAGAACGTCACAATTTCCCAATCAACCTTGAACCTTAATTCTTTAGCGATAAAGTTGAAAATCTGTTAAAGAAATTTGACAGATTGTAGTAGCTTGATGTGCTGGCGTCTGTACCATAATATTGGCTGCCGTAGAAACTGTTACTAGACCTACTCGACTCGCAGTTAGTTTTAAATTTTGCTAAATAGAAGAATAATATAAACTTTGAAACATAAGTAGGTACTTACATAATGTTTATATAATTTTGTTGGCTATAATTTTAAGCACATACCAACCCACGAGTTCTAACGTTAGATCTGCACATTAGGCATAAACAAGCATGATACATTATTATAGGTTAGTTGATACCTACAAGGTATAATCTTTGCTAGAAAGTTATTCTGGGTAATTTTTATCACATGGGATCATGGTAACAGATTTGTGAATAAATTGTTGAAATATAATAAGTACTTACCTACCTAATCAATACAATACCTTTCAGGGTTCTTTCAGACGAGCGGCACGTTTAGTGTTATGACGATACCAACAGTTTTGATACTGGGGAACGTCTCTCAAAATCGGGAATGAAACCAAATACCTACTTAATAACGCCCAAATCTCAGTTTGTCTTAACTGCAAGACGCAAGAGTCTTGCAGGCTTAAGTATTGTCTTGCTCAAGTCTTGCAGGCTTCAGTCTTGGTCTTGGTATTGCTAAAATAAGGCGGTCTTGGTATTGGTCTTGGTCTTGCGAAAATGCAAGAACAAGACCAAGACTGCAAGACCAAGACCGATTTTGGACAACACTAAACGCACCGTTTTTCTGTAAACCATAGTTAATCGTTACGTGACCAAGGAGGCATGAATGAAATGTTTCTCGATTTTTCTACAACTTAGAGACGTTTTGTCTGTGATTTAAGTGTGAAATGTGATTTAAGATCGTTTCAAGAGAGGTTCTACGCCACAATGTTTGCGTAAAATACCGGAAAGTCGCCAAAATATGTTTGTTATTGTTATAATCGCGTTAATATTATTAAAAACAATGTTACGTAACGCGTAATACAAAACCGCCCAAATTCGTAATACTTGATGAACACTCCCGTATAAACAATGCCCAAAGTAGTAAGAATTGCCTAAATATTTGGTTTACAATGTCAAATCGGTTCATCAGGTGTTGAACCGATACCTGGCTTGCTGCCGTATAGCCAACCTAAGTCGTCTAGGCTCTTAATTTTCAAACAATAATTTGATTCTAGATTTGTTTAAAGCACGTTGCACAACTATATACCAGTATATCCGAGACATACGGCGACAGACATGACGGCTTGTCAACGAAATTGATGCCAGGAATGTTGCAAATGACACATAGAAGATTTGTATTAATCTCTATATATATAAAATTCTCGTGTCACAATGTTCGTTCCCATACTCCTCCGAAACGGCTCGAACGATTCTTATGAATTTTTTTATGCATATTCAGTAAGTCTGAGAATCGGCTACTATATATCTTTCAAACTCCTAAGTGATAAGTCCACCCCTGTTTTTATTTTTTTATGATACAAAACTTATATATAATACAGCAAATGTCACTTGGTACTTACCCCTAACAGCCGTGATACAGGGAATGCTGGAAATATTGCAGGCCCGCTCATGTCTGACATAAGGCACATAGTGCATCAGGCAATGGCAGTGCCGTTGGATCCAGTCAATGTAGCACAGCTGGCTACAGTCGCTACTGCCGTACTCGCCAAAGTGACGTACCCGCATCTCGTCCTCGAACAGACATTTACGACTGCGATACCAGAATAAATTTTTGAAGTTATACTTCTTTGGGCGCGTGGCGAAAAATGATGCGTAAATTTTTACGATGCACGCGCACACCGTCACATAAACCGACACCCTGAAGTTAGCTATAGTCAACATTATATTTTTTCTATTGTCGTTTTTTCTTCAAACGTAGAATAAAATTTTTGCCTTGCCTTGCCTTTACGCCAAAGAATTATAACTTCTAAAGCGTGTTTCTAAGTACACACACATTTTTTTATAGTATATGGGGGCAAACCAAAAAGGACAGTAATTGCTGCCCATGGACACCAATAATTTAGACGGTGCGTTGCCGGCCTTTGAGGATGGAATATACTCTTACTTTATACCATTGGAGGTAGTTTCTCTCGGGAAAGACCCCCACGGAGTCAATACCACACTTCACTAGTTCGCGTCAGTCATCAAGGTGATGTTGATGAAGTTTTGAATCAAGTAATACGGCTTGGTGATAAAACTAGGCAGGAAGGATCAACCCAAACAACTCTTCAGAATACCTACTTTCCATGGTAGATTTTGTAGTATGCGCATAAAGACGCAACGCTGTTGGGAAAAGTGAAGGTGTACCTACTTTCAATATTCGACGCCTCGCTAAAAGCTGTACTTTTAGTTGTCTCGAGAAATGTCGAGTGTGTATGAGTCGAGCTCATATAAAAATGAAGAAAGAGAAATTTTTAAACACTGCAAATTACTGCCCATAACAGAAAAAGTAATAAATGTCTTCTATTAGAACACATTTTTCGAGATGACATAAAAAATAACGGAGTTGAACACGATGCAGACCCGAGCGGTAACGCAAGTTCGTCTTTGTACATCGAGAGCAAACAACGTATATGGCAAGAGAATGTTGAGGCTACCGGGCCTAATAAATGGACTACCGAGCCAGTTATCAGACAGCCTAACGTTAATTGAAAAACTACTTTTATATGCATTTGACGCGTTCCCAAACAAGTTACTTAATCTTATAAGCCATAATAACAGCTGTCTCAAAAGAAAATTTACATTTATTTATTTAGCGGTATGTGAAAATGTGAGACGACTTCTTGATGTCTGAACTTCAAAACTTTCCTGGCTATAACCAAAGAACATGGTTCCAGCAGGACGGAGCAACGTCACACACGTCCAATACGTCTCTGCCATGAGTTCGAGAAATTTTCTCAGGCAAATTGATGTCCAAGAGAGGTGACTTAAAGGAGAGGTTGGAGGTTGGGACCCCTATGGATTTTTTCTTATGGTGTTATCTTAAAATCTAAAGTCTACGCCAATAAGCCGACTTCTCTGGCGCAATTAAAAGAAAATATCCGTCACGAAATGGCAGCCATCACTGCGTCCACTTGCCGAGCCGTCATAAGTAATTTTATTGTTCGATTAAATGAATATCGATGCCGCGAAAGCGAGGGTCTACATTTGGACGGTATTATTTTTAAGAAATAAATTCCCAAAATGTACTTTAATAATGAATAAACACTTTTTTTGATACACGATTTTTTTTTAATCGATCAACTAAATATGAACTTCTTTTTGAGACAACCTGTATGTACCAAAATAAACTTTTAAAACATACTAATACCACTATTTTTTATATTTTACCTGTAACTTGGTAGTGCTTTGACATCCTCCGAACAGTATGTGTAGGTGGGATGTATAATGTGAAAAGACTCAGTATATGGTCGGACAAGATTCGATTCGTCCTCCGACGGAAACTCTGAGGACTCCATGATCATAACCTACAACAGCAAAACATCTTATTACTAGTCTATATTCATTTTATTTTTCAAAGCTTGTCTGTGTTATTTTGCCGCCATAAAGGACTTGACAGCTTTTTAATGGCCAGGTACGTAAAAAGGTACGTTCGTTCGTATTTCCGTATGTCAAACTCAAACTCAAAATAATTTTATTCATATAGGTAAACAAGTACACTTATAAACGTCAGAAAAGAAGTAAAATTAATTCATTTACTACGAGTTCGCAAGTCAAGGGCGTAGAGCGGGCAAGAAACTTTCCGCCACTCTTTTTAATCGCAAAGTTTTGAGTCATTCAAATTGTTCGAACTGGAGCAAATCAATCCCAAGGATTAGGATCATCTAAAAATTCGTCAAATTTATAAAAAGCTTTATTAGCTTTATGATTAATTTTCATTTAACGAGAGCTTCGAATTTATTTAGTGATTCTCTAATTTCGCTTGGGAGTTTGTTGTTGAAACGAAAACAATTTCCATATAAGGAGTGGTTTATCTTCTGGAGCCTGGTTGGTCTTACGCTCAAATTAGTTCTGTTTCGAGTATTATACTGGTGAAAGTCACCATTTGTTTTAAAATCGTTTATTTTTTTTTTGTATAGGTATACAACCAGGCTTCAAGAATATATTGACCAGATAGTGTCATAATATTTTATTCCTTAAATTTCGTCAAATACGTATTTAAAGACTAAGTTAGTTATACCCTTATAGCTCCAGCATTGACCACGGTACCATCAACAGCATCGTCAGGATTATAGTCGGCTACTACTCTCAAACCTCGTCCAAAACCTGCAAATTTCTCTGGTATTCTGCGAAGTTTGAAATCCTTCGTTTTCTCGTTCCTATTAACAATATACCCGTAAACTGTAAACGTTTTTACCAAAAAGTTTTTATTGTTTTAAAAAATATCATTCACCTCTAAGGAATGGATCCTTAAGCCAATTCTTATATTGAATTATTGAAGTAAAACTTCTATAGGCGCGACTAGGGAGTAACTCAGATTTTTTTCTGACGGAAGTAACGCTTACTATAGTCTGTGTAGTTTCCGCTATTTAAAAATAACAACGATAACGCGTTTTATAAGTCCGTCAGCGCCATCTAGTGGTGCATTATTTGAACTGATTTAAGTCAGTTTCTTTCAAATCCATAATAGTAACATGTAACCAAATTAAAATTCCACTAAAGAGGGAAGGTTCCCATCCTAGCTTGCTTTTCTTTTGACATACGACCATTTTGGAAGATGTAAATTAATACCAAATTAATTATTCTAAAAATCTGGTCTATTTTATATAAAAATAACAAAGTTGTATAAGAGAATAGCAAAGTGAATAAAAAAAATTCAACAGTTTTAAAAAAATATTTTAAATTGCAAAGTTTTTTGAAAATCTCTAAATATACTTATTGATTTATTACTTTTAAAATAAGTAAATTAATAATATTATTTATTATTTATATTTTCTGACGAAACTTGCGACATTCTATAATATTCAATAACAAGGTTATATTGACATGTGCTGATCTAACCTTCGTATTTGAATAATCTTTGTAAAGCACATGAATAATAAATATAATTAAATTATAATATGATATTTAATATTTAATCATTTCAGTTATATTTAAGAAGTTTTACTTCAATCGCGCGTAAAGGTTACACGCACACACTTTTTTTTTTTTAAATACTGGGAGTACGATTATGTCCTTACGCCAGATTCTATTATTTATGTCTCAGTACCACGATTATGATATACTAAAATAACTCACCTTTTGTTATGTCGAAATTGATACACATTATTAAATATACAACACATTCCGATCTTTGTTAGTACGGGTGAGAATAATGTTCTGCAATGTGGATAAGCTTTGCCTTCAAATAAGCAAAGTTTTAGAAAATCTTCGCATTTTTGTGCTACCATTCCCATAATGTCTAGTGCCTACAACGTTTTTAAAGTAAATATCTTTTATTATATCTAGTGATCATTTGCTCCATCCAAAAGAAGTATAGGTTAGTGGCGGCAAGGGAAAAATAAACGGTAGGTATTTTAATTTTTTTACGTTGTATGTAAATAAATAAAATAAAATTGCCTCCGCTTTTTAAGTAGGTATATTGTACATATGAACCCTTGTCACACAATTCAACTACTTATAAAACTTACTCACATGATACCTATTAGCTTCTATCAGGGCTTCGACACGAGAGATGACACCTTGGTCAAAATCCCCAATTAATTCATAGAAACCAAGCAGTAATGAACTGACATTCTTGAAATCGATTGCACGATTACCTTCCCTGCAAATTATCAGTACTAAATATTGTGTTATGACAACTTGCTTAAAAAATCTATATACGTATATATATATAAATGAATTGCTGTTTGTTAGTCTCACTAAAACTCGAGAACGGCTGAACGGATTTATCTTATCTTAGTCTTGAAATGTTCGTGGACGTCTAGGGAAGGTTTAAAAGGCGAGAAAAATTGAATAATTTCCGGGAAAACCCTAAAAACAGCCCTTTTCTATTTCCCATACAAACGTTTTCTAGAGTCAATTTGAACTTTATTACCGCTGCATAAAGTTCAAATTCAATCATATCTATGAAAATAGTCTTCGCGTGCGCTTTGGAGGATCTAATGTCGCGTTCCGAAAATAAACAAAAGGGAATCGCGAACGCGACAAAAAATGTAATAAACTATTAGTAGTACTGATTTCCAATTAATTTGGTCGGCTTCGCGAAACTTAATTTTAGCTAACTTCAGTTGTAACTGTATCAGATTATTTTTTTAAGTTTGATAAATCTTTCGTTTTGTCACAAATTAAGTTTCTGAACACAACCATAATATTTGACATTAGATTTACCAACTAATATGTCAATCATTCTGTCGCACTTCAGAACACGGAGATTTATGGCTTAAAGGTAAACTCCAAAAAAATAAATAAAAAAATCAGAACACGTGTTACGATCATGGTTACGATATTCTATGAGTGCATCCTTCTATCTTTGTGAGTGACGATTACCGCTACGTGCGCGAGAACTTTCTTTACTTTTGTGATCCTTTGTGATAGTGACATTCCAAGTAGTGTGCTCTTTTTTTGTTGATATTTTGTGATAGTGACACTTTACTGTTAAGTGAGCGAGAAATTTTCTCACTTTGATTAATTACGTTACGATGCCGAGGAGAAGACGACCTGACTTAGGTCGTCGCAGTCAATCAAATGTGCGAAGAGCTACCTCACGTGCTAACCGCACTGATGACCAGAGAGAGACTGATCATGAAAATAGTCGTATTGCTATGTCAGAATTGCGTTATTTAGTGAGTGACAATGAAGTGGATAGGCTTAGAATGCAACGAGTTCGTGCACATCAAACACAACAACAGCGAGCACGACATAATGAAATTGAGCGAATCCGCAGACGCAGTGCTACTGTTGCAAAGGGATCAAAAGTACGACATTGAAGCATTGGCCGAAACAGTTCGTACAAATGTTCCACAATTAAATCAACAACAAAGAATTGCGTACGACACTTTGATAGAAGCTGTGAACAGTGGATCTGGTGGAATTTATTTCCTTGATGCTCCCGGAGGAACCGGAAAAACGTTCTTAATTTCATTACTTTTGGCGAGGATCAGATCGCGAAATGATGTTGCTCTAGCGTTGGCTTCATCTGGAATACTGTGACTCTGCTAGAAGGCGGACGAACTGCGCATTCTGCCTTGAAATTACCATTAAACGTGCAAATCACCGAAACACCAATTTGCAACATCGCCAAAAATAGCGCAATGGCCAAGATCCTACAGGTATGCAAATTAATTGTTTGGGATGAATGCACAATGGCCCATAAGAGGTCACTGGAGGCGCTGGACACAACATTGAAAGATCTTCGTGACAACCAAAGTATTTTTGGTGGGGCCATGATTCTGTTGTCAGGTGATTTTCATCAGACTCTTCCAGTTATTCCCCGATCAACTGTTGCTGATGAACTAAATGCATGCTTAAAATCATCGAATTTGTGGCAGTACGTAAAGACAATCCAATTAACAACTAACATGCGAGTATTTTTGCAACATGATGAAACTGCAAATGTGTTTGCGAAGCAGTTGTTAGATATTGGAAATAATAAAGTTGCAATGGACACCTCGACCGGATTCATCACATTACCCACAGATTTCTGTCACATCACAGATTCAAAAGAGGAGCTTATTCAGCGTGTTTTTCCAGATATAGCGCAAAAGTTCAATAACCATAATTGTCTGGGTGAACGAGCAATATTGGCAGCGAAAAATAAAGATGTCGAGGATCTCAATGCGACCATTCAGAATTTTCTTCCAGGACAGTTGGTTTCCTTCAAATCAGTCGACACCGTTATGAACCAGGATGACGTAGTCAACTATCCCACGGAGTTTTTAAATTCACTGGAATTGCCTGGATTACCACCTCACAATTTGCAGTTAAAAGTAGGATCAGTTGTCTTCATGCTGCGTTACATTAATCAACCTCGACTATGCAATAGAACAAGACTGGCTGTGTAAACCTGATGAATAACGTCATTGAGGCAACAATCATAAAAGGAAAATACAAAGGAGAGGATGTCTTGATCCCGCGAATACCGATGATTTCAACGGACTTACAATAACAATAAATAAATCGCAAGGACAGTCTTTAGAAGTTTGCGGAATCAACTTGGAGTTTCCCTGTTTCGCGCATGGACAATTATACGCCGCGTGTTCGCGCGTCGGAAAACCGTCTTCTTTGTTTATTTACGCACAACAAAACAAAACAAAAAAATATAGTTTATGAGAAAGCTTTAAATTGATTAACAAACTGTATCATAACAGTGTGTGTCTGTTAATAAAAATTTAAACCTTATAAATAGCCTAAAATAAATGTTTCAGGAAAACTCTGTTTTTTTAAGTAAGCAATATGATGTGTCGAAAATAATAATAAAACTTCATGCTTCATTAAAAAAATGCTTTTTTATTCAATACGTTTTGTTCTGAAATTAATTTATACAAAAGTTTAGGTCTTTTATTTATCGATTGAGGCAGTACGAAGTCTGCCGGGTCAGCTAGTCTTAATATAAATAATGAAGCCTCAATTTGTGGTGTATTGATTATTATATCTCGTGATTTCGTTCGAAATCTAAATGCGCCTGACACATTTTGTAAGGCAAACATGTAATAAGGTATTTAATGACGGTTATCTGGGTACAGGGCAGTGCGCTCACCAAGCCGAGCAAAAAAGCGGCACGGCTACGGCCGAAAGAACAAAGTAATGAATTAATTTAAACCATAGAACATTGGTAATATTGATAAGATATTTTTAGGTTAACTAATTACGTAATAACTTAAGACATAAGATCCCTTAAGTAGGGACTGAATAAATTGACCGACTTGATATTTTTTACGGTACACACAACTTTTAACGGTAGAAGAAATGCGTTGTGGGACTTGTTTTTTTTGGATGACATAAACATAATACGCACTCTTTTTTTATGTAATAGGAGGCAAACGGGCAGGAGGCTCACCTGATGTTAAGTTATACCGCCGCCCATGGACACTCACATTGCCAGAAGGCTCGCAAGTGCGTCGCCGGCCTTTGAAGAATTGGCACGCTCTTTTCTTGAAGGACCCTAAGTTGAATTGGTTCGGAAATACTTCAGTGGGCAGCTGGTTCCACATAGTGGTGGTGCGCGGCAAAAACTGCCTTGGAAAATGCTCAAACGTCAAACCTCTATTGCCTAATACGGCAATACATAATATTATAAAAATACAAATTAATTAAAACATAATGATTAAAACGATAACTTTTTAGATACTAATAAATAAACTTAACTCACACAAGAGTTCTGTTGAAATGCTTTAATGCACTTAGAGTTATTTGATTTGGAGAGCAAAGAGCAACGGATGGATATGGAAGATTTTCTATAGGCTCATATTGGTTTTCTATTGTAATTCGAGTAGGCATCTCTAAGAAACGACAGTACAACAGCCACGTCAACGCCCACGCCGCAAAAAATGTTGAAATTAACGACACTCCCCAATAGCACCTATAATGAATTTAAAATAATATTTGTCATTACTTCATAGCATATGTGAGTATAGTAAATTAAAACTACATAATTTTAAAACTATCTTGAGTCATAAGTCCTTTTACATCTGTTTTAATTGTTGTCTTGGTTTCTTTATTTTTTATGTTACTGTACATATATCTTAAGTAGTATTGCACTTCCTATTTATTCCAAGGTGGCTTGGATGACATCGCACGAAAGCCAGAAGGATGCCCTCCCTATTATCTAATTATTTCAAAGGTAAATTTACAGTTTTACCTATCATTAACATGTAACAATGTAACATTGTAACTTAACGCTTCAGTGGACGGAGAAATTGTAACCAATTTGTGTTCCACCGTCACACAATTTTGTGGATTTTAATAGTTTTTACTTTAAATAAATAATAGCAATAAACACTAAACACTCGATAGATAGAGTAATTAATCCGAAGTTTTTGCTACCTGCATTCATTGTCTATACATACTAAATAATATGAACAAATATAATCTGTTACCTGCTCAACAAATCTGGATACAAATAAAAATACTTTAGCCCCAGAAAACTACTTTCCATACAAAATTTTCTCAACAAGTTCTTTGAATTATCAGGCATGGTGTCCACCGTATGAAATGAAATGAAATTAAAGTAAAGTTAGCGTAATCTGGATCTAGCGTGATGGTGTTAAATTAACAGTCAATTATACCGCATTATTGTTTAATTGTTTTAACCTTGTGTGCTTATGCTAGTTCCCAAACTTTATTCAATTACTAGCTGGCCTGGCGAACATCGTACCGCCTAACAGTCGATTCTTTATTTTTTTTTTAATACATATTCTGCTATTTGGGACACCGGTCTAGCTAGTAAGATAAAAAAAGAAAGCTGATAAGACAACAAATACATTGTCAAAAAATAAAAATTTACCTTCCCGAAACCCCTCCACTAACACTTGAACTATGATATGGTATTAAAGTTCAAATTGACTTTTAAGTATTATTACGAATATTTTGTATGGGAATATAGAAAAGTGTTGTTTTTTGACTTTTTCACTCATTGTTTATAATTTTTCTCGCCGTAAAAACCATCCTTGAACTTCAACGAACATTTAAAAAAAAGAATTGGCCAAATTGGTCCAGGCGTTGTTGAGTTATGCGCTTACCAACACATTTTGCGATTCATTTTTATATTATAGATACACACCGCATAGTTAAATATAATATTAACTGCAGGGTTGACTTACTTGACTTAAAGTCCTGTCCACAAGTGGGGCAGAGGACATCCAGCGTAGAAAACCCTGAAACCTAATCGGTCCTGGGCGGCTCTCTGGCTCTTAATTTCATTCCACGTCATTCCAGCTTCCTTCGCCTCTGCAATGATGCTTCGTTGCTAGGTCTGTTTTGGGCGGACACGTTTATTTTTGCCTTGAGGATTCCAGTCGAGGGCTTGGATCACTCCGGAACCTATGGTCCACCCATTTTCAATTTCGGGGTTTTATAGAACTATCAATTGGCACCTTGCACAGCTCCCATAGCTGATGAGATGCTCTCAGGCCAGAATATTCCAATAAATGCAGGGTTGCAGCTATTTGTATGTTCAATATTTAAAAAGATATTATTGTTATTAACTAATAAGTCTATTAATTATTCATTAACAATAATATAATAGCCAAATATTCATCAGGGATACGATATTACTACGAATTTTATGATGTTAGATGTGAATTAACAGTAAAAACTTGGTCTGCATCGGACTCCATAACAGACACGGAATATTATGCTTTTTATGATTACTAAATAATCTATCTAAGGTGTATTTCCAATAATATGGGGTTGAATGTCCAAAAAAAACACGTTCGTTTTTCTAGGAAAAGGGAAATTACAATTCACAACTATCGTATACAAAACATAATGGTTCAAAATGAAAGAGTAATTCGTGATTTATATTTATTTTGTTTAATACACTAACGTTTACAAAACACCTGGACAATACAATAAAGAAAGCTTCAAGGTTTTGTTATCTGTACCCTCTAGATACACCTGGCATCCCATCAACCCATTTGTCCGTCCTTTTAGAAGAACGTGTATTGGCCAAAGCTGATAAACGATATTATGTGTGATGTTTGCCTGTAAGAGTTTGTCACCTTAAATCTTGTATTTAATTTTACTTTATGTATAAATTTATCAGTGTGCCAAGCGTTGGCAAGCATTTATAAATAATAATATCTAATAAAACAGTTTTACTATAGAATACTTTTAATCTTCTACTCAAGTATTGTTAAAATATAGACAAACAAATTTTACGGAAGACGTAATCAACTAAGTACACTTTAATAAATATTAAAGTTTCTCGATGATCATCATATTGAAAGCAAAAACATCGATGTTGCTATACGAAAAATATCGTAACATCGATGTTAACGGAATCGAACATCGATCTTAACTCACGGCCAATGCAACTAACGAAATAAATTATGTCTTCTAGTTCTATGAACGCATACACAAAACCGGTTTAATAAAATTTTGAACGCGTATTCATTCACTGCGCACCGCTCGTTCCCTTCGTTCATTCTTCGTAATCTCGCTCGTTCTTATCTCGCACACTTCCCCACTACTCTATATCAACAAAGAAATAGATTAAAAGGTTCTTCTTTAACAAACTTCCTATTCATTCAGTCAGTTGATAAAAAATATCGGAATATGTAATAGTTTGTTCTGTTCTTAATAAATTTCGAACCATTTCACTGTATGTTAGTTCTTCGTCAATTATTATCTCTAAATTCACAGAGGAGCTGGGATGACATACACTGCAAGTTGACTTTTGACGATCTTTTGAGTCGTAGTACGGGTTCGGCGCGTGCTAGGCTTTTGGCCGTGGGCACGCATGAGGCCGGCTACTGGCTTCACGCTTACCCATCGTCAAATACAGGAACTTTTCTTGAGCCTGACACGCTTCGAATCGCAACCTGTCTACGGCTTGGGGTTCCGGTCTGCGCTCCTCATATATGTCCCTGTGGCAGTGATGTCGACAAGTTAGGACATCACGGCCTGTCATGCCAAAAAAGTGCAGGCCGCTTCTCGAGACATGCCGCACTTAACGATATCATACGCCGTTCCCTTGCCACCGTCAACGTGCCAAGTCTTCTTGAGCCAAGTGGTATTGCAAGAGACGATGGCAAGAGACCGGACGGTATGAGTTTGATTCCATGGAAGATGGGTCGGGTACTGGTATGGGATGCAACCTGTTCAGACACGCTGGCCCCTTCCCATCTACATGGAACCAACTACAGAGCTGGTGCGGCTTGTGAAGCGGCTGAAAAAAAATAAAGCAGGCAAATACAGGGGTCTGGGCTCTGAATATGATTTTGTCCCATTCGGTGTCGAGACCCTTGGTCCGTGGGGTCCTAGCGCTTTAAGGCTTTTTAAAGAAATTTCAAAAAGGTTAGTCGACATCACAGGAGACCGAAGATCTGGCAGCTACCTCGGACAAAGAATTAGTCTAGCAATTCAAAGGGGGAACGCTGCCAGTATCTTCGGAACCTTGCCTAAAGGAACTCCTTTTAATGATATATTTTAGTTTATGTTAAGTGTCGTTATTTATTTCAATGTATATTATTTTATTATTATTAGTTTATGTTTATAAGTTTAATTTTATTAATATTGTTACCATTACACTATATTCCAGATTAAATTATTAATTTTTATGTATATGTTTGTAATTTATAAATTATTATCTGTGGAATATAATTAAAATCAAGTATTATTAATGCAATGTTGTCCAACATCGATGTTCGGTTTTCGATAAATATCGAACATCGATTTTGGGCTTTCGATTATGATATCGATGTCCATATCGATGTTTTTTCTAATATCGATCATCCCTATATAAAATCAATAAAAATTTTTTGGAGTTTATGGCCTGGTTTCTAGACCTTTAGGCCAAATCAATATCATTAATATTTCTGTACCATAGCGCATGTAAATGTGTGTCATTTACGTATCTGTATATATTAGAGTCAATGTCAAAGTCGTTGTCAAAAATGAAAGCTTTCTGTCAATTATCTTCAGTCTGTAGTCTGTACACTGTTTTGAGTCTTGACTTCTTATGACCAAAAACCACGCTGTTGTTATTTGTAAATTGTAATTTGTACTACCTAAATTGTTTAGAAGTTTTTGAAAATTTTTCACTACTAACTAAATAAATTAAAAAATAAATATCTTTTAAAATGTATTTGCGATACTTTTTAAATGAGAATGGTGACCGCCAGTACACGTTAGCCGTATGTATCACGTGGTCTTTATTAACCAATAATTTTAGTATTTTTTCTAGTTTAACAATAAGTGTAATCATTTCCTTTCAACAAATCATATCTAGTAATAAAATTAAATATTTTTCAGACTATAGATCCCAGTGGAAAGCCAACCTTATCAGCACATCCAGGTAATTTTTAAATGAAATAACATTTTGACACCAAACTTAGTTTGAGAATGTTCAGCATCAATTCTAAAAAAATCTTTTCTTTCAGCTCGCTTTTCCCCAGAGGACAAATATTCAAGACAACGAATAATTATCAAAAAACGATTTGGTTTGCTATTGACTCAACAACCTGAACCAATACGATGATTACTTACAACTCTTTACAACTTATTTTAAGGAATAAATGCATTATATATAAGTATATGCTTGTTTTTATGAAGTGTAGTAGAAAAACTCCTCATAGATTTCAAATGTTAAGCTTGTATTTAATGAAAGTCATCATTATGAAGCAATTTCAGATTGATTATCTGGTAAGGAAAGTAAAAAGGAAAATGTATAAAGTGATGTATTTTGAATGAATCTGCTTACAATAAGTTGTTAAATGCAGTACATGTTATAGACTCACAAATCTGCTGTATTACTATAAAGTGAGGTGCAAGATAACTTTATTAAGTGTTAAAATTTCAATTATGTCAGTTAACTAATTTGGAAATGGCCTAGTAATACACATACATATTTTTTTATAAATAAACAATTGCATTATAAATATACAGAATTCTTATGATCTACAAAAAATCCAGGTTTTTATAAGTATTAGTATAATCAAGTCAATACAAGCTTGTAATAACATCTTTGCTTTAAGACAATAAAAATCTGAAATAAGTATTTTAGGGGCCTTTTACTAATATTAACCAGACATTACTTTCAATGATAATAATAAAATGTACTTAAATGATAAAAGTTCAGACATTCAGAACATCATAAACAGGCTGCAACTGGAGTCTTGATAAAAATACAATATTATTAATAATTCAAAATAGAACCTGCCTGTATTTACAAATACACAGCTTAGTTATACATGAAAACACTTTAATATTGGAATTTAAATAATACAGTGTCACACCTAACATATCTTACAATTGTTAGGCTGAGACATTTTATGATAGACATCAAAATCATGTTATTTTATCAGCTTGAAGCTATGAATTTCTACCAATTTATGATCACAGTATCAATGTCAAGGCAAACATAAATTTAAGCATCTACAATATGAAAGCTACATCTTACATTTTATTGGTCGGTTTTAAGCCTCAATGTACAGAAGTTTGAAAGTGGTTTAATGAATTATAAATTCAACATTCGGTAATCACATTTCTACAGTTTGGCAATATTTAATTTTAAAATTATTTGTGACACTAATGTATCAAACAATTCATTGTTAGCTGGTAAAGATTTTAAATTTTGTGCAACAAGATATGCAATAAATATAGCTATCCTAACCACTCAACATTTTGAGCTAAATTCTTGAATATTTTACTACTAATGTTATTTTTTGGGCCTTTATCGCTATTTATTTTAACAGCTAAAGAGAACACTAACAAAATATCTAGAGCAATAATATATACAAACATTAATAAACTGGCAACATTGAAAAGGTTATTAAAGCCTGATTAGAAAGCTCCTATGCAAGGATTATAGGCAATAAATATAGTTAATACTGCGAGCCAATAATAAAACTTATACTAAAGGTTTAATCGTCATTCAACAAGTACACGCTTGACGTTAGTTGTGCCAAATCTATGAATATGAAGCATGTATATTCCGGTATTTATTTAACATTTCCTTTCCATAGATAATAAAGAAATATATCTAATAATTAATAATAGATTAGCGTCTTAAGTCTTAACGCTCAAGTCGTAGTAAACATTAACATTATAAAAAAATACTAATAATAATTCAGAAATAGATTATAAACACTAATTTGTAAATAAGTTCCTATATACATAGACAAATCTAATTTACTTATATATAAATATATATAATATAAAGCGGCACTCATAAATATTGCAAGTCCTATTTCATGTATACTCTTTAAATTTTTACGTTGTATCTAGTACAAGGTTTAAGGATAATTATTACTACGATCAAAAAGATAAGTTAAATAGTAACAAACGTCTTTACCTATATTATAGTAGATTAAAGATTTATAATATGAAAATACGAAACACCTTATTGGCAAGATATCGGCAACAGTATAAATATATAAACCATTCATAAATACTCATATAGTAATCTTATCTCACATATATTGTGCGCTCCAAGTCGTCCTACATACCTACCTAAAATACAATTCATATCCCCTTTAAGAGTATTAATAATATCAGTGATTTTCATTATCACTTGTGAAGAGAACATTCAAAACTCCGATAAACATCAAATATTTCATCTCAGTCAAAATTCGTGCTTTTCAATACAAAAACAACGAACGACAATACTCGCAAATTGTATATAAATAACTATAATCATCACATGTTTAAAATAGTAGACAATCGTTAACATTTATGTGGCTAACATAGTTCATCAGTATTCTTCAAAATGGGAATCCTTTTTAGGTTCAGGCGTTAAATGTCGCAACTAAAAGTATTAAGATCCAATTTTGTGTGCAAAGACCATAGTTTTTGTTTAATACGTATTGTAGTTCGTTTTACAAAGCCCGTAATTGAATACAAATATCACACTCAAAGGGACCGCCAGACGATTCTCCAAAACATTTCAAAATCGTAGGTCCAGAAAGACGACCGGCGAACGCCGAACTTGCAAGTCGCGGCGCAAAAGCACAAAGTGCGGCCGGTCGCAGAATTACAAGCGAAGAGTATTACGCGGTCGCGTCAGCCGCGGGCTAACTTGAGGAACGTCAGGAATCTAGGAGCACGTGCCAACGTTGTACCTGTGACAAGTACACGTTATATTTAAAATTTATAATAAAAACAGATTTGGATTTTTTATTCAATTTATAGAAGTAAATTATACAAAATTCAATTATAAAATATAATTAAGAAAATCAATAATCAGTACCATCTTGTAGCACAAAACGAAGTTACCTGCTGTCCTTGTCTCTCGCATAGCTCCTGCCAGTGTCTCTCTTGCTCGTGGCCTGAAGAGCTATGACCGAGTGAGAACCAACCGACCATTTCATTTCGCTTTACACTGCGCCGCCACCACACCGATACCATAAGTGTTACCTCCGTTAATTGGAATAGCGCCACCTGTTGATAAAATATACTTAGATTACAATTTTTAGAGCATAAAGCGCGAATTTATTTATTTTTGTTGCAGTTTGAGTCAGCCAGTGTCTATAGAATGTGTATTACAAATGTATTACATTTTAATTTTTTTACTAAATACCAATACGCGTAATTTATGGCTAAACTAGACTACGATTTTTTCCAAATTCTTTAACGTATTTCTAAGTTACTACACATTATTTATTAACAACTAATTTTATAATTATTGTAGTTTTTTTTTTCTTTTAGTTTTAATCGTGTGTCTTAGATGCAATAAAGCTTTACCTGGAATATAAAGACTTCCTTGTAAAGAGGATTGGACTGAGCTCGGCGTGTGGTGGACTTGCATCTTCCCATCTCCATCCCTAAAGAGCTGATGAGGCATAGCTTTACGTATGTGTCAGGGGCCTTGTTGGGCGACAGCTTTCGGAAGTGGGTGCCTTTGATTATCTAAAATATAACATAGACCCAGTATATCGATATTATTAATTGTTTGGATATTAGAAGACAATTCTCTTAGAAATATTTACAAAAAAATAAAGTAAATTAAGTCGTCTTTTAAATGATATTTCATCGTAGAAAAATAATGATACAAAGAAAATCCATAAACTATTATATAATGATAAAATATTACATTAGATTTTTTATCCAAATTGAAACAGTTACAATTCTTTCAAACACATTCAAGATATCTTTGAATATTATAAAGACATTTTTACCTCAACAGACAGGTGTCCCGTTGTAGGATTATACTGCAAGCCCAGCAGGAGTTCCGGGGCCGATCTGGTGCTGCAGCAGGATGAAGCGGAGTCAGACCTTGCCAGGCTACAGGCTTCTCCCCCTCCGGGGGATGTTGCCGGGGCTATAGAGGGAGTGGCAAGGACTCCTACTATGGTATTGGTCTGCTCTATTTTGGGCACCTGAAAGGGAATAAAGATTTTATAAAATTACGAATTCATTTTTTTGCTGGTAAAATTGTGTTTACATATCGCATAAGAGACAAATCTGGGGATAATTAATGCGAAAGATGATACTATGGGACCGTCCTGCTGAACATAAAAACGATGTCTAGGTTTTGTTTCCGCACTATGATATTCTTCTTTTTTAACTACTACTAATTATATACCTAATAATAAATTGATAAAAGACGCGTTCCGTTCGAATGTGATTAATGAACAGCAACACATGTAGACAGTAGACACGCGATATGATGCATCATTATACTACGCTTGACAATCTAACAATAATCACTAATGCACCCTTTCGTGTATGGTCTTTCGCTTCTAACATATTTCCAATACGACGGCCATTTTAGGATTTTAGCCATCTGATAATCGTCCGTGTTTCACTTAAAATATACATTTTGGATTTAGGTTTGACAAGGGATTAACGTCTAAATCCATAATATAAACATGTCTTTATTCGAACACATCCACTAGAAGATTATGAAATGTACTTTCATATATATATATATATATATATAAATTTTCATATTTAAATTTTATATGTAAATTTTCTTGAATTTTAATAAGAATTAGTAAAAAAAGTCAATTTTCTTATTAAAAAGCAAAATAAATTATAGCTCTGCAGGGGTTGAGCTTAGAGACCTCCCGTAGAACAATTTTTTGCAGCTGATGACCTCATCTATCCCCTATTTGCGTTTGATCCACGACTTTTTGGCCATCCTGTATAATGAGAGTAAAGAGTTAGCAAAAAAAAATTTTCCCCTTTTCCCTTTCGGTTTGTTTGGCTGTAATTGGCCCTGGCTCAGCATTATGCTAGTAGCAGTATCTAATTCAATTGTTTACATTATCTATACTGCCTTTCATATTATCTATCTAATATGCATAGTTTTAGAATATATACTGATTTCGTTTTAATTTTACCTGCATGCTAGTTTGATGATGATGGTGTTGTCTCGGCGTGAGTTGGAGCCACAAATTGTTCTCAAGCTCAAAGTTAAGTGTAGCAAAGCTGACGCTCGCCTCTCCTAATAAACGCTGCCGACGCATGCGTTCGCACCCGTATATACGTATACGTAAACCGAGTCCGTGTACGTCCTCTGAAAATTGTGTATTGGATGAAGTTTTGACAAATCTACGGTCTTCTAGACGTTTTACTTAATATTAACTTTGATATACGAAAGAGGAAAAGAAAATATGTACCGAGTGTTTTTAGCACACATTATTTTTTAGTTTATAAGTAATACAATTATTTCTAATAGAAAATTATTAATAACATAGTAAATATTACTAAATAAATATGATTAAACGCACTTTAATCCAGTTAAAGTATATTTTTAATATATGTAAAACTCGTGTATGACGAAATCCTTTTTGAATCAAAATATTTTTTGTATCCCTCGGAGCGGAAGGTATGTTATCACGGTGACTACATTTTTTCATGGAGGCTGATAAATCTCATATCACAAATATGACATATAATTAAATTTTACTAACCTGGATTAATTTTATGCAAGACGAAACTCTCCATGTACTGTGGATTTTCTCCATTACGAATTTTGGATTTGTATTTCTGCTTCTTCATCGGCAAGAGGACAATTCGAACCTATTTGATAAGAAGATAAAACACATATAGTTGTGATAAAAATATTATTGAAAGAGCTACACATCGGCTTATTCCGTTTATAATCTAATATATAATAAAATTCTCGTGTCACTATGTTCGTCCCCATACTCCTCCGAAACGGTTTGACCGATTCTTATGAATTTTGTTATGCATATTCAGTAAGTCTGAGAATCGGACATCAATTTTCCATCCCCCTAAATGTTAGGTTACCCCACTATTTTTTAGACAAAACTTTTTGTTTTTATTTTTTTATAATACAGCATACAAAAATACATACAACCCTTAATTGTCACCCCTCTACGATCAACCTATTTTTTATTATAGTTGATAATTATGCCAAAACGACGTTTGCCGGGTCAGCTAGTATCTTAATATTAATTAATATCTAAATCACATTATATATATAAATCAGAAATACCTGGCTTTGCAAAATCTGTCCTTGTGTACGTTGCGGCAAAGAGCGTGCCTGGAGAACGTGCACGGTCATAGTGCGAACGGGCGCGTCGTACAGAAGAGTCAACTCCACCGAACCGCGCTCGGTTGAGCTTTCGCTGCATAGGAGAGATGTATCCTGTAAGCAATTCACTTCCAATAAAGAAACATATATTTTACTGTAGATAATATGAATATTCCTTATAAAATAACACATTATAAATTTTAAAAGTACACCGTAAAGTAAACCCTTAATTTAGGCTTTTCGTATTATATCGTGTACATCTTTAAAAATGGCGGGCGTCTAACTGCTAAGACTGCTTTACTTCTTGAGAAAACAAGCGATACAAATGATCAAGTAGTAGCAATTTCTTTACTGTATATCTTGCGTGGAACGCGCCATCCGTAATTGGAAGTTCCATTCATTCAGACAAACCAAAAAACTATCGAAATTGTTGATTTGTTTGAACTTAGGTAGATTTTGTCATTCAAAACATTCACAAAAGATAATAGGGGCCGTTCTATTTGAAATAATAATTTAACATTTAGAAAAAATAAATAATCATACATTGTGCGCCAACACATCGCTGTCAACACTACTCTGTGCTTCCAACGTATGTATGTATTCTGCCTTTTGCGGGACAAACTCATCAATTTTGGTTTCACGAATACTGGTCTCCCTTAGCGCTGTTTCAATAACATCCACTTCAACCTTCGGCTGGTTCTCATTCTTCTCCTCATAGCGGCATTCAACGTCTTCCTTATCCTATAATTTTCATAAAATAAATACACGTTCGTGACAAATAAACAATTCTCTATTACATACCATAAGCTCTAAACAACAAACACTACAAATGACCATGAATTTATAACGAATGAAACTTAACGCGTTCTAGGAATTTAGCCACATGCGTTCAACTCGGGAATCGTTTGAAAATAAAGCATTTATTATATTGTATTTATTCTTCTATTTATAAGTTCACCGGTGCAATATTTAGCCGCTAATGTTATGAAGTTTTGGCGGATAATGAATGATGCCATCGAGATCTGATTAATTACCTGGACTTATTTGAGGATTTTGCTCGAACTAATATCGAAATCACTAAATTTATAAGACATTTTGAAATTAGTATTGTCCGAATCTTTATCAATTTTAAGGATTTATTGCCGTTTCGCAATAGTTGCCAATTTGTTTAATGAAACCTATGAACAGTTTTCCGGTAACCTAGTCTTATATCTCACCTGTATGCGCAAACGCAGCTCTTCGTCAGAGTCCGAGGCCTCAAACGCAAATATGCGTTCGGGGTATTGGATGGTTTTCGACAAAGAATCTATAACACGTACGGACAAAGTTAATCGATATTTATAAATAGTCTCTAGGACTACGATACTTAATAATAAAATGTGTTTGAAGATTCATACCCTTTATGAAATAAGCTTTTTACGACATTAAAAAAGTGATTTGACTATCTGTTTGTAAACATTGAAGCCTGATAATTGACTTTTGATGCGAAACAAATTAGATGGAGCGATATCGATTTCTAGGTATAAATAAATAAAACTTGTAATGTTAATACGATATTTTACATCAAGAAATATCTCCAATTAATTAGTTCACTCCGACGGAATAAAATTGCTGAAATTAATGTTCAATTACGTGAATTTTTTACGCGCCATTTGGTCTATTACTTTAGTCTACTAAAGCTACAATTGATTAATGAATGACCAAACCCAGCTGTTAAACTATTATGACGCATTCAATACCCTTGGGAAAAGCTATGTTTAAAATATCCTTACTTCAATCTACTCTAAATATTTAAAGGTACGAACATTTTTAAGGCTATCTACATTCTAATGGAATTAAGTATCTATTACTAATCTGTATACCTGATCTAAATCGCCCAACTAATTGCAGTACATATGTGAATATTTATTAAAATACTTACCAAAGTGTGCATTGTCAAGAGGCCCCGGATCAACACCAGCGTTTACATTGAGGATACCGTTACGTTTTCGGTTGCCAGCTACTGTGTAACACCACTTCTTCCCCAGAAACAACAGTACCACCAGCAGAACCAGGGCAAAAGCGGCAACCGCACTAATGTACGCCGTCGCTTCCACTGCATATAAAAGAACAATGAGCCACAGTCACTTTAAGCACACAGTAAAGGAATTCTGTTTACCATTTGATGGATTAATGCCGCCTATGTTAGCCACCATTTTCAGTCCATTGTTACATATTCCGAAGCTTTGCTTAACAATTAAAGCTTTTAACGAAAAAGCTAGAATATGTTGGCAGTGGCTGACAGATTTGCACATGCGCAATGAGAGGGAGGCTCGCCGGGGCGTGTGGAATACTGCGCGGTGATAGGACGAAGGACCTCCATTACTAGGGACTATCAAGGCCGAGGGCACGTAGCGACGTAAATTTTTCATGTGATTATACTTATGTAGATCGAGCTTACCCAGCGGGCACACAATTTGAAACAGCAAATGTTTGATGAAATGTTGAAATTAACAAAAACTAACCTTGTCACGTTATTTGTATAATTTATCGTTAGCCACGACATTTCACTAACAAAAGCTAACCTTGTTTATTATTAACTGTTTAGTTTAATACCTACGATAAAAAAAAATGTTTATTATGGAACATAAGATACAGGTATCACTTATTCCACGTCATTAAATTTGAATCTGTAGACATCCCTACTCATCGGCAAAGAAGACAGAGGGTGTAGGCCGAGAGAAAAAGCCGGCGTAAAAAACTCTCGGTACTCTTTTAAAATAGCAAATCATCAAACAACACTTATTTTGAAACAAATATCGTAAATTAATTAGAAGTAGCCTGTCTAGCACTAGTCCCAGGCCCTTTTATCAACTAGATAATCGTTAACTTTATAGTAAGCCTTTTTACACAGCTTTTCTTTAAGACATTTCTTAAATTTATTAAAAGGCAGAGATAAAAGAGCCTCTGGGATTTTATTAAACAAGAGTATTCCTTTTCCCAAAAAAGAATTACTAACCTTAGATAGTCTAGTAGGTACGGGGAAATTGCAACCTGCGTTTGTTTCGAGTATAAACATTGTGCGTATGTTCTATTCTAGTAAACTTATCACTATTTTTGTATACATACATAATATTTCATAAATATATTGCGAGGGAAAGGTAAGTACCTATATACATTTCCTTGTATTTATCTCTCAGAGATTCCCTACATTTTAAATTATAGATTGCACGAATAGCCCTATTCTGCAGGATGAAAATAGTTTCGACATCAGCAGCTTGACCCCATAATAATAAGCCATAAGTCATTAAGCTGTGAAAGCGAACTTTTTTAACCGCGTAAGCTGCTGAACTAAGTCTCTTCGCCAATCCGTTAATATGAGGGGACCACTGAAGCTTTGAATCCATGGTGATTCCAAGAAATACAGTTGTATCATCCAGATTCAAATCTTCATCATTTATAATTGGTCTAGTATCCATAACCCTTGCATTTTTTGCACAAAATTTAATGCATTTCGTTTTTTTTTTGCATTAAGTAGAAAGTTATTCATACTAAACCAATGCACAATCGAAGAGAGAGCATTTTTCAGATGGTCAGAGCATACGCTTGGTAGACCTTATCAGAAATGATGATAAAAAGACTATGGTATTGTAATGGGCACCAAGTAGGTACCATATATCAGACTTGCTTGGACCTTGCCCACGATCTGTAAGAGTGATAAATGAAAAAAAAACAATGCCCAAAAATTCTTTCTAGTTTAATGTTGCGTATATATAGAAACCCTAGACCTATATATATAATAAAAACTTTATTCATAACAAATGGTTGTGACAAAACTCATATATCGCTAGTACCAACTAGATAACAATTAGTCAGTGGTACATGATTATTGTTTAAAATAGTTTTTTGAGAACAAGTAGGTTTAGTATTACAACTTTTGTATTTCTATCTAATCACACACAAGTCGTAAAAGACATTAAGTGTGTGAATGGGTGTGTGCGCATGTATTTGAGCGTGTAGCTAAGAGTTGTTATAAGCGTGCGCTGTGGCTGTCGTTTAGTTTTTGGCATTTCCGAGTCATCAATATGTTTACTGTATATAGCCAAGATACGTAGTATGTCTGTAGATTCGAAATCCAATTCAGATAGCGTAATTTGTACGAGATTTGAGTGTTTGTGTCTGGATAGTTTGACTATATCAGAATCCATAGATTGGGAAGTTTCGTCCACCACTACTTGTTTCGAGAACTGGACATTGGCATGGATGTTAGTTATGACATGTGTCGGAGTTTAATTACTGGTAGGGTCATTGGGCGGGAGCGATCTGTAATGCTAAAACACAAGAATTTTGTTTTGCTAAGATTTATACTGAGCAGATAGTTTTGAAACCAGTTGGAAACGTGATTTATACCTTTCTTTTCTAAGACGGAAATCTGTTCCCAAGTATTGTTAGCGAATAAATAAAGTTTTCGGTTGTCCAGTGACAGACTGCACAGGTCTTTAATATATATTAAAAGAGGGCCGGTGCAAGCGCACTGCCCTGTGGTACTCCAAATGCAACGGATTTCTGGTGACTTGTATATTCCCTAAGGCTAACACGTGTTGCCTATCTTTAAGGTAGGATGAAATCCATTGCAGAGCTACCCCTCTCAATATGTGAAGTATTTTCAAATGGAGCTCAACATTACTTAATTTAATGAAGCTTCAACCGCCGTGTGCATATATTTACATGTGCACGCGAGCTAAACAAGTGTTGCCATCTTTAACTATCGACATCACTAGAATTTATTTATTTCTATAATCTGTGCAGTTAACCGTCGTGGGATTAGAGGTCAAAGTACTCAATTATCTTTTATATTATGTTGACAATAATGCTATGCCATTATATACAGTAAACATATTGATAATTTATAGGAAAAAATATTTCCGCACTAGCAATTTATCATTAATTTTATCGGTAAATATAAAATACTTCTCAAAAACGATTCGTCATTTGTAATCTCTTGGTATTCGTACTTATTATTTGTGAGTATCTGGAGCTTGTGAATTACTAAAGAATAACAAATACAATCATAAATTATGTTATAGCATCGAACGTAATCGGGACACTGGCATTTTGCCCAGACGCTCCGATGTGCACGGATATTATGAAGTACCTATGTAGTTTAAAATTACTATCTAGACTTGTATTTACTTCGTATAGTAAAAGTTGTGTAGTATTCTAAATAAAGTCATATACATTCACAAGTATATTCTAAATTTTCAAAGGTTTTAAAATGAATCCTTACAGTGTAAATTATAATAAATACACCGTTTATTTGCAAAGAAAGTGGTACATTTAGATCGATGAATTATAAAAATCCACAACAGCAATAAAAATAGGCATGCAAATGTCATAATAATAAGTTATTTATAATTGTTGTCAAACTTATGGTCTAAATACTCTGACACTGTAAAGGCACCTTGCCCAGTGGCGTAACAAAACAGTGGCAGGGCTAGCAGAATACCACGGGACCCAAGAGGGCCCCTGCCTAAGAGATATTATGTTCTAAGGAAGAATGTGAAGTTATTGGGCTAGCGTGGACACTACAGACCATTCTCTCTTGCCTAAGAGAGGATGGTGGCCATTAGTCGGACATATACAACGTGTAATTGAGTACGCCGAAAATCTCAAAGTTTATTAAAATTAAACTGAGTACAACGTGACGATTTCTACTGATAGGGCCCCATCAAAAGAAGATTTGCCACGGGCCACAGATGGTATAGTTACGCGACTGGTCCTTGCCTTTAAAAATTTAATCACCTACCCCTTAAAACCAAACGGCAATGATCTATAACTTCTAGGAAGGTGATTTGATAGCCACATGGCGTAACACTTTTAAGCACATCGTGGTGCAACATGCAGGCACCCACAGCCGTGATGGATCCCTCGGTATATACAAGCAAGTTTATTAAATGATTTGAACATAACAAACACAACGAACAAATGTTTGTCATAACTGTTTCAAGGATATATTAACGTGGTACTGGCAAAATACCGAGTTCGTAAAAAATAGTTCACAGCTTACAAGAGGTCCAACGCCCATAATGGCCCTAATACATTTTTTCTGAGTAATAAATACGAACTATCATTTTATATATAGAAAATTTTGGTAGCGTTTCGAATATTATTGGTGTTGTACACTATACTAAATGCGTGAAAAATTTACGCATCTTATCTCGCATGAATATAGATAAGTATTGCCATATCTAAATTCATTCATGCTTTTGTTTAGATCGAAATACGGCCAAGGTTCGCTGCCTCAGTTTTCCATTCAAAAATTTAAAAGTTAACGAATTTACGTATTGTTTGATCACATACAGAATCATATCGACGTATATAATCAATACGAATGACGTAAAAAAACTACCAGTTTTTGTGCAAATGGTGCCGTTGTAACTTACGAAAGCTACAACCTACAATTTAACGTGTAACTAGTTTCAAATGTTTTTAACGCTCACTAGATGGCGCAACACCTCACTAGATGGCGCAACACCTCACTGTACCTTCAATAAAAACGGCTTGGTGTTAGTGTTTAAAGAACGCCAGGTGCCGTAGTCTTCTAATACTTCCGCAAATGTATTCCAGGATTCGCCAAGAGATGGCTCTCGATAAGACTGGAGGCGTTATACAACTTCCTACTTTTATTATAAGAGCATTTTCAGGAACTTGTAATCAAAAGAAAATGTGTTTGTGATAGCGTAGTAGTTTTCCTCATTCAAATATTTGTGGTATTTTTTTTATTGAACAGGGGGCAAACGGGCAGGGGCTCATTTAATGCTAAGTGATACCGCCCATGGACACTCAAAACCAGAGACCTCGCGAGTGTGTTGCCGGCCTTTACAATTTTATTTTGGATAATAATATTCTCTCACAGAGTTGTCATTGAGTTAACAAATAACTCGCATTTTCAAACCTATTTTTATTGTCACAGACATTATGTATTCCCTCCTTAATTACTTTCATTGCATCTAGATTTTTAGAGGAATGAATTCCTTGATTTTCTATTGTCTACGGTAGGATATAGGAACAAAGGACTTGGTTGGAAAAATCTTGTTCATCCAAATCATACCAAGGTTTATTATTTAAATAATTTAATGATTTAAAAGCTAATATCAATGAAACATCGCAATAATATTTTGAAAATGTTTTTTTTATTAACACTTAAATTTTTACAGCGCACCTAGCCAACAGAGTAATACTATAAAAAAACTGGTGTAAAGAACTGTCGAACGCAAAACAATGTTAGTCCTACCGTGTACGTACATTAAACAAACTTACAAAGATCCGATCAATACAATAATATCAATAATGTTTAACGACTATTGTCAGTGAAATGTACATAGTTCCAATCGAACAAGCACAGAAGATCACCCTAAGGAAACAATTATTTAAATCTATAAACATTTCATATAATTTAGATTTATTAGTTACTATAATGTTATATATTACTTCTGTAACCATTATAATAGTATGATTTATGTATTCGTTACGAAATTGAAATGAATCGTCCACTCGGTCCTTCCATGGTGTACGCCACGCCCTCTAGTCCGCCTACCACGCCCATCCTTTACCATCCTACAAACGTAGAAGAGCCGAGCGTCGACGAAAACAAGATGACTCTATCATAACTGTATAATTTTAAAAATCTCTAATTACGCATTCTCTACATTTGTTTATTATCATTTAATTAATTTAAGAAATTAAATCTTACACAATTACCATGAGCAGCCTATTTTATAAACATGACGAAATCTCTAATGATCTGATTAGTCGAGAAAAAGAAAAGCGTCGTGTCGGCGACGGGTAACCGTCGCAAGCGTCGCGTTGTGTATGCTCCTTTACTTTAACTACGTTACGATTGAAAATATGGCTTCGAAATTTCAACTACCTACCTAACAGTAAGCGGTAGTTCACTAGAGCCGGGCACTCCACACCCACCTCACACGCACCACGCATCCGATCGAATCGTCAACTAAATCTTATTCACACCGAAATTCAACTTAACCTAACATCACTTAAAATAATATAAATGGCTTAAATGTAATTTTACAACAAATGCTTTCGTTGGCCGAGCGACGGCGCGGCGGCGTCTCTCGGCGACTACTACTTATTGCGTAGGTGAAAAACAACATATTAGTACTGTATTCGAGTGTGTGAACTAATGCACGAGTCCGCGGTCCGCTATCGCCGTCGCCCTCGCCCTGACGACTGAGATTCAACCGAATACCGAACGAGATTCCTCGATATGTCCAATCCTAATCGAAAGAGAAACGACACGTCGACACCACACCGTGCACAATATATACATAGAGGGCCGGGCGATCGGCGCGGGCCGGCGGGTACATAGACGGTACGCAACAAGCGGTGAGAAGCGAACACGACAGCGATTACACAAACACCGGAACGGCACCGCGACCTCTGTCAGTCTGGGACGAGAACACAAATGAAGGTAACGCGATAACTAACAGTTGCACGACGCGTGGACAGGGCAGCTTAGTAGTACGTCTCTTGCTCCAACCAACCGCCGGGGTTGCGGCGGAGGTAGAAGCGCCGGATCTCGTCGTAGATGAAGATCGACAGCATGAAGGGAATGGCCGGCAGCCACCACACGAACCTGCCGCAGACGAGCGTTAGTATCGAGAAACACGTTACGTTATTAACGTGACAGATAATCTACTCACTTCAGGGGATACATCCTAAGACCCTTGTCCATCCCGGGAGTGTAGGACAGGAATGCGGCGAGGGCAGTCTCGAAGATCAGACCGAAGTTGAGGGCCCAGTTGCGCATTCCCTGGTGCACGATGGAGTTACGACGGGTCTTACAAATGATCAAGTCGGCCCATTGCACCACCACGATGGAGACGAAGAAAGCTGTGTGGCAGGTGTACTCCAGAGCCTTGCGGTCTCGGTATGTCTGGAAATTCATTGATTCATTAAACATCTATCAGGCCTGATCACGTACGTTATTGGTGTCCGGTAATGGTGAACATACCCATTCTTGTCCGTAGGAGTCAGTCAAATCATTGATAGCCTTCGAATCCCACTGCTTTCTTATACCGAACAGTTTCAAGGGTAAGAATCCATTCTCAGCCATGATCACAAAGTAGACGAAGAAACCAGCAGCGGCTTGAATCATTCCGATCTGGCCGTAAGCCATCGAAATCAACCTATTGATATTAAATTATGAATTAAAAATCTGCATTCAAACTAATATAAAAAGCCTTTCAACCAAGCATTTATTAACATCTGTTAGGAACCACTTGGTCCAATTAATTTCAGAGAAATTTTGAATTATCTCAACCAGCTAAATTAACTAAAAGTTACGTTAATTATATTTCAAATTAAAATTACTGCCTTAGTTAATTACTCGAACGATAAAAAGTTACGAGTTGCTTGGCACAAAGTGGCTTAATTAATTTGCTAAAATTATAACATGCATTTTGTAGCCTGGGAGGTCATGGCTCGATAAGCAATCGACTCTAATAGAATCATTAAATATGACAAGTTTGGAGAGTTTATAACCCTAACATTTATAAAGTCATTTGTCATACTTAGGTGGTTTGTATTATTCTGGGGAAAGCAAAATACTTACGTTAATTTCACCATACATGCATACACTTAAAACTATTGGTTAGAGGAAGACGCGAAAGCAGTTATGTGTGAGCGTTAAAAATAGCTTAGATTTGATGTAATGCGTCCGAGCACCGTGAATGCAAAGCTATGTGCCTAAACATATATATATATATACTCACTATTAAACATAAATAAAATATATAAATATATCTTCACGTCTCCTAATTTCGTTAAAAAACATATTTAAACTCTAAATCTATAGTCTACTCTAGGAACACAACACACATTTCTCACTATATACGCCCTAAAGACGTCCTCTATGTCTAACGTGCATTCCGTCACATTTCACTTGCTTTTTCGCCCTTTTCTATTGAAATATGGAAGAGTGAGATTGTAAAGATAAAGAATTCTAATTCAATCTATTCTAGACTGTTCTATTAGTTACCATTCTGTTTTAAATATCCTAGAAGATTGTTACATAGGAAAATATTTAAAAGGAAAGATAGATAGGCTTAATTGTATTCATGTACTGTATGTATTATTCTCCTACTGTGCGACCCTCCCGTAATCACTCTTCCACATCCACTTATTAATGGAACTGTTCAACCAAGAATAGCCACACTAGTCAAATTTAGTATTTTTTACACCAATTACATAGCTAATGTGCAATTTTCTATTAAATGGTACGTTTTCACCCGTGAACCAGCATCCTCATAATTATTTACTTTTCAATTTATATGTCGCAGCCAACTAGCTTAGTTAGCCGTTCAATTAACAGCCTAGCCCTTTAACTAAACGGCGCCGTTTAACTAGCGGCCTGAAAGATATTCAGCCGTAGCGTTTGTAACAACATTTAATAAACTGGCTGGCTAATGCTTAGGCCATTCGTACGATAGAGTCATAATTTGGCAGAAATAAAAAATAAGAAACGTGATATAAATAATATTTCTTTTAAAATTAAGTTGCATGAGTCAAATTCACATTATTATTGTCACTGCACTCTGCCATTGTACTTGTTGTTTTTCATGAAACTTTGGAAAAACCATCAAAGTTGTGGTTTGAGGACGCCATATTGACAGTTAGAAGAGTTTTGTTTCGAGTTTGAGAGTAGAATTAAATTTAAATTAACAGTCAACAAGCTAGGCAACTAGTGAAACGCCATCGATCCAAGTCATTTGCCTAGCTGTTTGATCAACTGGCTGAAAATCTTTCCGGCCGCTAGTTAAACGGCTAGGCTGTTAATTGAACGGTCAATTAAGCTAGTTGGCTCCGACATATAGATATAGAAAATGTAAACAAATATATGTGTTATGTATCGCGAATATATTTAGAAGATTGCACCTAGTAATAGTGGGCTAATCATTGCATCAACACCCATGATGATAACTAAAAGCTTTGCCACGGCCGCGCAATGGCGGGTGCTGGCCAACCTTCTGTTGACGAGGTTGTCGCGGTAAGGGTCCCGCGGCTGCCGCTTCATGATATCTGACTCGGGCGCCTCGTACGCCAACGATATAGCAGGCACCTTATTAAACACCAAGCGATCAGGACAAACCAACACTAGCGCGACACTCGCGCACAGTAATTACATAAATATATACCTGAATACCCAACGCAGCTCCGATCTATCATAAATAGACTAAAGATAATGTTTTTCAATTGTCTAATAAATATATAGATATATAGCGTGTACTTCGAGTAGCTAAACGTCTCAAAAGGAAGGTACTAATTCTAAGTGTGAGCCCTAATGTATTCAAGTGTTTACTCTAATCGATAAGAAACCTCGCCATGATAAATTATGCGGTGATACGTGTCAGAAAATTAAAAATGATAGCGATCGTGTCGATGTGCATGGAGGGAATGAAGAAAAAACAGATAAAATAGAAATATAAAAAACGACAGATACATAATAAAAGATGTTTGTCAAAATACATGCTCGGCACAGAGATGGCAGACACAGAGGGAGACACAATGAACACTTACTTACCTTCTAGCACTAACACATATACCACACCCAAGTAAGAAAATATCCAAAACACATGTATGGAATGACGTGTTTGTAATCCGTTTTGACAGAACACGTTATTCCATCATCAACAAGCTACATAGAAAAAGAGGGGGAGGTTAGTAAGTATATCAAAAATATACAGACAACGCAAGCCAGAAAAACAGGAGCTGTGCGCTTGTCGCCTTCAATATCCACAAGTCGTTCGGGACACCGTCCACGGAACGGGCAACAACAGAACCTCAATATTGAAGACAAATACGTGGTATAGCAAGCAATAGCGGAAAGAATAATAGTATCGTACGAGCGTTGTTCGCTCGCGGTGTTTTACCTCTCGTTAACGAGCTTATCAGTGAAAGGATTACGCGGCTGTCGCTTCATAATGTCAGATTCGGCCTCCTCGTAAGCCAGGGAAATGGCGGGCACCTACACAAATACTAGCTATGAGAGCGAACGGCGAATCGCCCGCCGACGCACGACAAAGCGTGGTGCAATCATTGTCACGTGTGTACAACACCGAACATTCAACGGGCGTTGCAAACACACGCCGCGCTCGCGACGTCTATTTACAACCCGCGCAACTTAAAACTAAAACCAAAAACACATAAATTTCACAAAAAAATGACATCTGCTGCTCTCCAAAACGTGAAACATAAAATTAAATGAACGGTGAATGATAATGACTGAGACCTAACTCCTTTGCGGCTGGATGACGGTGAACATGACGAGAATGAATTTGAATTTGTGTGTGTCTATGGGATCACAATTTACATTTGCAGTAATGCAGCCCTATCATTAAAGTATTATTAATACTACTGCATTGCAAAAATTACGAGCAAGATTAGTACACTTAAAAACCTTAAAACAATACACTATACATGTCAATGTAACTATACTTTAGCAAATTTTACAACGAGAATAGTTACAAAGACGAATTAATACACGCACGGACGATATCGAGACAACATCGACGATATTAGCTGAAAACTGTTAGTAAGGGCAACACACTAATTATAACCTCTCATTGACTAGTTTGTCGCAAAATGGGTTCCTAGGCGGTCTTTTCATAATATCCGCCTCGGCTTCTTCGTACGCAAGGGCAATAGCTGGTACCTAACATCATTCATATATTATTCTCGACATAGAGCTGAAATCCCTAAGGAAAATATTCAGTGCTTAATGTAGCTAGTAACGTTGTAACAGGTTAATTAATGTATCATGTTTTTGAAGTAAAACTTCTTTAGGCGCGACTATGGAGTAACTCTGATTTTTTTTCTGACGGAAGTAACGCTTACTTGTGTAGTTAGTTAGTCTGTGTAGTTCCGCTATTTAAAAATAATAATTCGGATTGATCGTAAGTATATGTCAATTGTCAAAAGTGCCATTTTAGATGGTCTAATTGAAATAAATGATTTGACTTTGATTTGTCATATACTCCACGCATCTTGACTTATACGTCAGCTAGTGGCAAATATCGTAATCAATTAGGATGATTTATTTCCAAATTTTCAAACGGATCAATTGTGAATAGCAAAGTAAATAAAAAAAAATTCAACAGTTTTAAAACAAATAATTTAAATTGCAAAGTTTTTTGAAAATCTCTAAATATACTTATTGATTTATTACTTTTAAAATAAATAAATTAATAATAAATTTTCTGACGATTGCGATATTCAATTACAAGGTTATATTGACGTGTATCTAACCTTCGTATTTGAATAATCTTTGTAAATAAAGCACATGAATAATAAATATAATTAAATTATAATATGATATTTATTATTTAAGTTAATATTTAATAATTTCAGTGATATATGCCGTGAAAGCCAAAGAAGTTTTACTTCAATCGCGCGTAAAGGTTACACGCACACACTTTTTTTACTAAGACAAATTATACATTTCTATGAAAATTGACCTATTACGACGTTTATAAGTTCTATATTCTTAATGATGTTTGTTATAACTAATATATTTTTTCATAAATCATTAAAAATCGAACTTACCATGTCAGTTCCGAGATCAATGCAAAGGATAGTAACAGTGCCGAGGGGAAGAGGAATATCGCAAAGGATGAAGGCCAGGAAAGGAGAAATTTCTGGGATATTAGAAGTCAGGGTGTAAGCGATGGACTTCTTCAGGTTGTCGAAGATCAGCCGACCCTCCTCTACACCAGTTACGATTGAGGCAAAGTTGTCGTCGAGGAGAATCATGTCGGCAGCCTGGGAGGAAAATTATGTGGCTAGAAGAATGTCTTGCAATAATAGCTTTTTATGGTTAATCATTTTCTTATCAACTTAATTTTCACTAACCCAGGTCCACGTTATTAGTATTCGATAATTCTTACCCACTAAAATTCACGTGGCCCTCTATTTCATTTAATTATGTCCAATTTTTATTATGTTAATGCAACGAAGTGTTATTAATTAAATAAATAAAAGAAATATATGTATTCCCTCCACTTAAATACTGACCAAGATACGCGCTCTTATAACGCATTTTCATATAACGCTATTTCAGTCACTCGTCTAACACAGGTCCCTCATATAACGCGAGTATTTCACATGTTATATTTCTGTGCTGTGATATTTATTTTTTGCACCCACCATTTCGTTCATAACGTATTTTTTTTATAATATTCAATTTAAATCCGCATTAACGAGACCCATAAAATGCGCGAATACTACAACGCTACGTTTCCTTTAACGCGGAACCAATCTACCGTGTTATAGGAGGGATTACCGTATTTATAATTTTAAAACGACTTAACATTTCTGATAAGTTACATTACATAAAAAACTTTATCGTAAAATTTACCTGTTTCGACACATCAGATCCAGCGATACCCATGGCAACACCGATATCAGCCTTCTTCAAAGCAGGCGAGTCGTTAACACCATCTCCGGTCACAGCCACAATGGCACCGAGACGCTGGCAACCCTCAACGATGATCAGCTTCTGCTGTGGTGATGTACGGGCGAAAACGATTTCGGTGTGATACCTGGACAGAAATAGTTCGGTATTTATAATGAAACTAAATAATAAAGTTGGACTGACAGTATTATTAATTATGGATGTTCCAGATTTGCTGAAAATTTCAAATGTTAATTTTCTATCAAAAATTGGTTTGAGATATTTTTTTCCGGATTTCTGCATGCGTCATGTAAATTATAGACAATGTTTAATGTTGTAGCATATACATATATATTATTAATTAATTCCACATAATATTTATTATTTTAACACTCTCATCATTACATTTTAAATTTATTTTTATTCAAACTTTATCGACACTCGCACGTAACCAAAAAAACTGGTCTTGCTCGTTCCGCGCGTATATGTGCGTGCACGTAACATGGTACTAGTGCATGCGTCAGTGCTTTGTGAATTTTGAAAACAAAATTTTGTTGGCTGCTTGACTTTTTATATATTATTTTTTTAATCAATTAATTAATTTAAAATTGAAGGTTCTTTCATCTACTTCATAATGATTTTCAATATTTAAGGTGCTCACTTGAGAATTTCATCTAACTGGTCGGAGTTAAGTTCTCTCAATTCAGTTCCGTGGACGACAGCGGCTTTTGCCTCTCGTGGGTTCACTTCAGAGACGGGGATGTTCAGACGGGCTGCGATATCTTCGACAGTTTCGTTGCCTTCGGAGATGATACCGACAGACTTGGCGATGGCTTTGGCTGTGATGGGATGGTCTCCAGTCACCATGATAACCTGGAGAACGTAGTTAATACAATAGATTGTTTAAATAAATGTTTTTTTAAGAATTAATGTATCTTTAATTAAATTTGGAATTTAAAGAGATGAATTGCTGTTTCTATCCGACTTCATTAAAAATCTTACATCCAATTAAACCCTGTAAAAGGCCGGCAACACACTAGAATTAACATAATCTTCGTGTCCTATAAAGTGATTTATACCTTGATTCCAGCAGATCGGCACTTGGCAACAGCATCAGGTACGGCAGCACGGGGCGGGTCAATCATACTCATGAGTCCAACGAAGCGAAGGTTGTCAATTGGGAAATTGACGTCATCAGTGTTGAACTTGAAGCCAATCGGGTACTTGTCTGAAGGCAGCTGCAAGTCACAGAAACCAAGCACTCGCTCGCCGAGACCTCCCAGTTCCAAGTACGCGTTGTTGAAAGCTTCCTTCATTTCCTCGTCCAAAACCTAAGAATTATCATGAATATTACTATTTTTAACTGACTTGATTTTTTTTAAATGATTTTTATTCATTAAAATCTTCTTCAGTTAATAATGCTAAAATGTTAATTATTTACAAAATTTCCTTTGACTAAATACTCCCACACCGACATTTATATATTTATGGTTACCTGACTTAAAATGTAAAACTCAATATTTTGTAACTACCCGCGAGTTGGTAGTCCACATCATTGCTTATATTTTTTTTGTAAGCGATACGTTTTTATAAGAAACATTCTAAAACCTAATTATCTGTTAGCAAGAACGATATGAAACTGTAAACTGTGGGGCTAACATACCTAACATTTGTTACTATAATCTAGGTAAACTGTGAAAATCTGTGACCAATTCTTATCGCCATGAATATAACTATAATAGTAGCTATTTCATTAAATATTTTATACATATGTTTTACAACACGATACATTATGTATTTAACGGTCATAAATACCTTTTCCTTGCCACCAATGAAAATAGTGCTGCATCGTTCCAAAATCCTTTCAGGGGCTCCCTTCATCACCAACAGGTGTCTGGGGTCGTTGGAGTCATCGCTTTCGTGGATGGATACTTGGTACTTGTTGGTGGAGTTAAAGGGAATTTCGCAAACTTTCTTGTTCTTCTTTCTGATAGACAAAACATCTCCCAACGCAAGCTCCATACATTTAAGCAGAGCAGCCTCAGACGCGTCACCGGCGACTTCCTTCTTCAGAATTGGCACACCATCTTGGCCACCCTTGAATTCAGCACGGTTACACAGAGTTGCGATTTTAGCGAGGGCCTTGAAACCAGGGCTAGTGCGGTCTGTTGAAAGAAAAGCGGTTAGTCAAAGCGAAGACACAGTTCACAGTCCAATATTGAGGATGAAAATGTACGTACCGTATTGAACTCCAGACTGATCCTCAGTCGTATCCGCTTCAATAATCTGGTTGTCAAACCACATGTGAGCGACGGTCATTCTGTTCTGGGTTAAGGTACCAGTCTTATCAGAACAAATGGTGGACGTTGATCCGAGAGTCTCGACGGCCTCCAAGTTCTTTACAAGGCAGTTCTTGGAAGCCATACGTTTGGCAGTGAGAGTCAGACATACTGTTACAGTGGCCAGAAGACCTTCTGGTACGTTAGCTACGATGATACCTAGAAACGTACGAAGAATATTAAGAAATCACATAATAACTTCCAATCTTCTATAATTTATGGAGAAAAAAATCTTACCAATAAGGAAAATGACAGCGTCGAGCCAGTGGTAGCCGAGGATAAATGCGATGACGAAAAATGTGACACCAAGGAATACGGCTACACCGGTAATCAAATGGATAAAGTGGTGGATTTCCTTAGCGATAGGGGTCTCTCCAGTGTCCAGACCGGAAGCCAGGCCAGCGATACGTCCCATGACCTAAAAACGACCACAGATAAGAGAAGATAAGGTGCTGCTAATAAATATAATCAAAATAAAGGTTTACATACAGTATTGTCTCCGCAGCAAATCACAATTCCTTTAGCAGTGCCTTCTACAGCGTTGGTAGAGAAAAAGGCCAAGTTTTTGGTTTCCAATGGGTTCTCGTTGGTAAACTCTGCTCCGCGAGATTGGGGTTCCGATTCACCAGTCAAACTTGAGTTATCCACTTTAAAGCCTCGGGATTCAATGATACGTACGTCAGCTGGGATTCGGTCACCGAATTTAACCTTAAAAATAACACGTAATTGCAAAATCTGATAGACACCAGAAGAAGTGCATATGGGCAATTATTACCTCAACAATGTCACCAAGCACAAGATCTTCAGCTCGTAGTGTTAACTTTTCACCCTCACGAATGACAGTTGCGAACTGGGGCACCATGTTCTTGAAGGATTCCATAATTTTCGATGACTTGCTTTCTTGGTAGTATGAGAAGATACCCGTTACAATGACTACAGCGGCTAATACAATACCAAGGTACAGGTTGTCGTCTGCGGGCTCCTCTACCGTACTCGCCTGTAATATTACAACTAAATAAATAAAAATAATAATCCAACAAGATATTTTTCACATTTTGTGCCATTTTGAGATTTTACCTGGTTTTTCATTGCAAACTGACCTGAATTCCGTAGGCAATAAAGCATAGAATAGCACCAATCCACAGTAATAACGCGAAACCACCGAAGAGATTTTTACAAAACTTCACCCATTCGGGCGTCTGTTTTGGGGGTGTGAGTGCGTTTGGACCATCTCTTTCCAAGTTTTCTTTCGCTTTTGCATGACTAAGGCCCTAGGAACAAACAGAAATGTTTAAGCATACATTTAAATAACGATGGGAACAATACTAATGAAATCCTTTATGGTAGCTTACATTTTCTGGATGCGTTTGAAATCTTTGGTAGAGTTCTTCGGGAGTTACTTTGTGGAAGTCAATGTCCAATTCTTGTTTAAGATCATCTAAATCTCCGGGTTTCCGTTTTTTCGCGGGTGGTTTTCGTCGTGTCTGCGAAATATCCAATTTGACCATTATCTCTGTATACTGAACCGTCCCACAATAAGTATTACGAAGCACTTAAACTTAAAATTGTAAAGCGATTTAGTAAATGCCATCACTGTATGTTAAACTATCATTATCCCAAAAAAATTGTACACTGATAACATTTTATGAATGATGTAATGATAAGCATGCATGACGTTCGAGTCGCATGCATTTCAAAACTCCGATCGTCAGATTGAAATGACATGAAAATGCAAATTAAAAACCTTGTAATGTCCATCAGCTGTTCTATTATCATCCTTAATGGGGCCGATGGTTGCGACGCGGTACGAGTCGGTACGGCCATGCTGCAAAACATAACTAGGGGCTAGACATCTACTATGTAGCTAAGGGCCCGGGGGCCATGCAATGGAAACTATGCGATATGAAGACACCGCAGGGTTCTAATTAATATATTTAAGAACCATGCGTTGTCATGAACATAAACCGTCTAGAAAACATAAATCATGATTAGCATAACAAATATTAAAAACTTTAGTGGTTCTAAAATCAAAAATGCATTTGAAAATCTAGCAGATTACCATAGTGGAACTCCTTGCGTAATAGAGTGATCACAAGGTGTAACCTTGGTGACTACTCTGTGGTCCTACTAGGGATCACTGGCTCAATGGCGTTCAATTGAAATGAACTAGTTACGTGTGCGAACCTGAGAGCAACTATAGCCACGGTCGAATCACGCATATACTAACACGCATGCACAATTCAATGACAATAGATTCTCATGTCCACATCTGTTTACGTTTTTATGAACGAACATCCATCTTGTGAACTAATATTTATCCTATGTGACCGAATCTAAATGCGTCTACGACGGGTAAACAAGTCAGCCATCACCATCGATAATTGATAAACGTTTTCGTCCAAGCCCTCATTAAAGCTATGAATATCCGTGAAGGCTACTTTGAGTAACAATACGCTCTCACTGTGTGCTCGTAGCCGAATGCGACATACTCATTATCGGAGTTTAAGAGCTAGGAAATAGGTGAGCCGCTGAGAACATTAAATCTTTACGACACCATTTACGATCAACGGCTAAATTCATCGTTCAAAATGATTCAATATTCATACAGCAGGAACGGTACACGTTTTAAGAAGGCGTGATCTTTGTTACATAAGCATGGGCTACCACGCGTGCGCATTAGGTCCAACCCCCGCTTCGACCCTCGACATAAATAGCTAAAAGACAAGGTTGCCCCCCCGGACCCTAGCGACCGCATTCTATAATCTCCATAAAGGTTAAACCGGAATAACTGATGAAAAATCGAATCTGGTTTTGCCCAGCACAAAGCGAAACTGGCTAGGTGACACGGGGATGAATACTCTATAGGGTCAAGCCATAATAACGTCCATACAATGGGAGCCAGTTCAATGGTGCTTTATTTGAAGGCAATATCGTTCTTGTTATACGATTTTGTCATATGCGTACGCGACGCAATGCGAACTAAAATAAACGGAATCAGTAGACAGCGGGTCGGAAGCTTGCATAATTTTTGAACAATAACAAAGACTCATCGATCAGAAATTCATTGCCATGGTCACGATACCGGTTTACACCGAAATTTTGTGGTTACTATCGTAGTAGCTACCGAAACATGTGAATGAGACAATTATTTTTAACTAATGTCGTGTCGGCTTCTGACGTCGAGAATATGCTCAGTGTGCCAAAACACTATTAGAAACTGCAACGAGTCTTTGTTGGTATACTGAGTATAGCGGTATTATATTAGGCCAAAGAGCAAGAGAGAAAAGGTATTTTAATTAAGATACTAATTGGGATTATTAATAAAAATCAATTACTATCTCGACTTAAGGTCACATATTAATATTTTAGTGTTTTAATAACAAAAACAATTGTTTCGACCTTAATTGGTGATATAAAACGGCCAAAGTGCTTGATGGCACTGAACTGAAAACTAAAAGGTAATTAGTGGTTATTACTAAAAGCGTAAATAATTAGAGAGATAAAGACCTATTAACAATTGCAGTTAATGATTTTAAAAACATTACGTTGAAGTTACTGATAACTGAACAAAAGTACCGATTTTTGCTTATTTTTTGTGTAATGTCTCTAATAATGAACATGCTAAATCATCAAAATTTCTTAATAACTGATACTAATATATTTAAAAAATCTTTATCTCAAACACTCTTTACTAAAAATTACGAACACGCTATACGCTCAAGACAGACAATTATTTCTTATAGAAATTTTCCAGATTCAATTTTGAAACTATATGTCTTTCAAACAAGTGTTTCATCCACATTTTAAAATGGTTCTCATTTGACAATTCACCATATTGCATAAGAGATTGAATATAATTTTTAATAAACCGAATTAAATTTAACTTTCAATGCTTCAATACTGCAGTAAAATCCTCTCCATTACGTAAGATATCGAATTTCGGCACATTACAGACCCAGGACTTAGTCCGGCATAGCTGTGCGTGCTGTCGTCATAAAGGATAAAGGAAATACTCCAATAGACCGACGGCACTCAATGCGATTTAAATGACATAATGACAAGGCAATTTCCTAATAAACCTTCGGTGCTCTTACACTTAGCGCGGGCTCTAACCGCCTCCCGCGACTACCTGTTTAGTCACTTCCTTCTGAACACCTTGGAGGAATTATATCAATCATGACCCCAACTATTTTCTCTATTATAACTGTCCTAGTTTGTTACTGGTCAATTATTTAAAAAATATATAACTAATCCAAAATGTTTAAGTTTAAATTAAGAATCTAAAATTTATAAATTATTAATGAGGTTTGATTTCAGTCTAGCTCGTATCTTGAAATTAGAATAAAAGCTTATTTTATTTATTGTATGAACCATGAAAAGCTATGAGAGATTCAAAGCAAAGTGTCTCCTGCCGCTCGATCAATACGTGCCGTTACGCAACCCAGCCGGCGCCGTCTTCAATATTTTATTCCATTATATATTTCCTTTACTAACTACACAATGAATCGACTGATTAAAACAAAAACGTAATTTAAAAACGCTTAACAAGATTCTTCCAATTTCAAATGATAAAAAAATCGATCAACTACAAGGGAGGCGAATGGATTTTTTTTACATAAATGCTTTGATGAAGGAATTTTCTGATGACACAAACGTGAAATCTAATCTAATTGCCATGCACTCACATATATTGCAATACAAAAATTAAAGAAAAAAACTACAATAGGCAACCAATCCTCTATGCATTGGTGCACTCACCTCGCCCATTTTCGCAAGTGTATTGAAAAGGCGGTTTTAAAAGTATAGGCCGCCTCTAGTCGCTGTGTTCGTCGATGGAGCTGAGTAGGTCGTCCCTAGTTCTGCAAAATCGAAGACCTTTACGGCTTCCTCGTTCCAACGAAAAAACTTAAAAATGTTATGTGCGCTTCCACGTCGATCTGTCGCACGGCACTGGCGCTATGTCATCGTGATACGAAACTAAAACCCGGTATGATAGTAAGTGCAAACGGATGACGAAGGCACGTCTTTGGGCGGCCTGCTTCGGGCGGCGACTGACGGTAGGAATTGTGCCTATCGGGTCGTCGGTGCACTGACGTCACACTGCGTCACGACGCTAGCGCCGCCACGGCGGTCGCCGCGCGCATCTAGCTGCGCGCGCCACCCGCCCTGTCGCCCGCCCGCCCCGCTCGTAACCTTTCACAACCGACCCGATGACAACCACCGCCAATCGACACCATTTCCCATGCCTATCAAGCCTTATCTAACTGTCAAATCTTGCTCAACTCCTTCAAAGTATCATTTGGAAGTCAATGACAGTCATCAATTCGAAAATACAAGCGCTATCTGAATACACGGTTTTTATATATTTGAACAAAAAAGTCCGATAATTAAGAGAAATAACAGTAACAATACATATGCAAACTATAATTAGACTGGCATTTGACAATACTCCCAAAATAAAATGATATGTGGTTTCTTCATACGAAACTATACATTTATATATTATAAATACATTTCTTTCTTGTGTAGGTATTTTAGGAAAGCGTTTTATTACCAGCGAATTATTGCCCGCACTTTATTACATTAGTATTACGATATTGCAATAAAATAGGATACACATACGTATAAATAGCTCGATTTTATAGGCGTTTCTGCGAATCTGCTACCCGTAGGGCGAAAATTCTTTGTACAGATATACGTCTCGCGTTATATAATTACACTTTCGTCCTTGAACAGTTTTAGGGGTGCGAATGAAAAAGGGTATTTCAAAAAGGATTTCTCCTTACGGTAGACACCGGATATAACATTTTAAATTCATTTGTCATCTAATAAAAATTTGTTAATCCAATCTGCCAAATAAGTATGTTTTCCAGTTTACCAGCGTTTTAATGCGATAAAACAGTTTCATATACCCCGTGAAAATTAATGAACAGAACACTTATGTAATCAGAGCGTCTACCATCTGTCTGATACTCTACACTCATACTTAACAGGTATTTTATTTTTTTTCGAATTCGCTTTATAGTATTAACATAGTAACAGTAGGACAATTATTCGAAATTTAAATATTTTGAATTGTTTAGGATTAATACGATCCTTATTCCTTTCTACCTGACAGATATTAATTTCCGGAACTTGACGTCTTCCGTAATTACGCGATAGCAAATATAGAACGTGGTTTTCAGGTCGTTAGTTTCTCCACTCGGTCACGTAATGGAGCTTAGGGTTGCTTTTTTATCGTACTCGTAGTGGGTAAAGAGCCGAGATCAGAAATCAAGATAAAAGAGAGAATAAATTGCAATTCTTTCGTATATCTGTGAAAAAAGGTATCTGTTTTCAGCAGACATCAACCAACAAAACGCTTCAAAGCTTGTAGAATTATAAAGAAATATACTGGTATAATAATCTCAAGGGTAATATTTATAAATAGAGCATCTAGAATTTTCGTCAAGGCAACCTAGCCTAACAAAGAAATATATTAAACATTTAACAGTGAGGGTTACAATCTATATTTCTGGGGTAAATGAATCAATATCGGTGCAATGTCGAGCCACCCCATAGGGTACTAACTACGCATGCACCGCAAGGAATGGGATTTCCAGACCGTAGGTCAGTTACGTTTCATGCTATGCCTATTTATCGATTTAATGTCCTTATGCTACTTACATCCTGCCGATTGCTTCCTTTAAAGTTCTCCCTTATTGGTTTTCAAGAAATATTTTCAGAAGATTCTGTATATAGATTATAACACATACTTCTGTTATAACTTGTAGATGTCTAAGACTTTTGAAGATTGACATTGACAGAAGAATTTTTTTATTTGGAGCTCATGTACACAGCCAGATTGATGTCATAAGTAAGAAAGAGGCTTATCATAATATGTCTTATGAGTTTTTTTTTCATGAAATCTCCCATCAAATGTTCAATTAGGTACCAAGGTAAATTGTAATCAGCTACTACCATAAATAATAAATCTAGGCACCATAGTTACGTAACCTAAGAGTACGGGACATTCGTCGCGGAGCGGTATATGAAAATTCGTGGAACGGTTCGGGGAGGATAATGGTTTGAGTGGGGGAGGGGGGTGAAGGCTCTATTTGGGTCAGCCCGGGCGTCATTCCCCTCGATCAATAGTCGGCGCGCGCCGAGCACCCTCCCGCCTTCCCCTAGCCGGATACCGAACTGTCTAGTACTCACTACCCAATATTACATTTATATCATTATTAAGTAGCTATTACTTAACTTTTTTTATAGGTTAATATGTAGTAAACCAAGCTGCGAGTCAACCGAACAGTTGATATCAAGAGTAATATACCTACGCACATTCGCATAACGATGTTCCAACTTCTATATATTCTTTTTAGAAAGGTAGGACACAAAGAAATGGATGTTATAATGACTATATAACAAAAGAAAACACAAAAAGACACCTTGAAGATTTTGTGAGGTGGTGTTACCGACGCATGCTTCGCATCAGCTGGATCCAGAGAGTGACGAATGAAAGAGTCCTTCAACGAATCAGAACGACACGAAAGTTTATACAGACTGTTATAATGCGGAAAATCGCATACCTCCGACACGTTTTGCGTCATCACCGATAAGACTTAGCAGATTATAATGATGGGCAAAATTCTAGACAGGAAACGGGTTGGTAGAAGGAAGAAGTCGTGGTTGCGGAACGTACGGGAGTGGACCGGCTTCACATCCGCCGAGAAACTCTTTAGACTAGCGCAAGATACCCGGCAATTTAAGTAGTTGTTAACCTAAAACAATAAAGTGGAGTCTTCCCTGAGAGATACGACCTCCAATTATTCAAAATTCGAGTGTACTCCTCCCTCAAAGGCCGGCAACGTACCCACTAAAAATGGGTATCTATGGGCTGCAATGACTGCCCTTTTTCGGCGTCCCGCAGGCTCGTTACTCGTTTTTTCCTATTAAAAAATGCGCTGACTAAAAATATTAAAGGTAAAAAAATGAGGCTTATAAATCATCCCGTCCCAAGTCTCAAGTGTCTCAAGAATTATTATTGGCTAGAGTGGAAAATTATCTTTATTAAACTAATCAAGATTTTCGGCTTCCTCTCGCTTTAATTCACATAAGCAACTATGAACTATATATGAGGGGGAATAGAATAGTCTTATTCAACGAAACAGGAATAAACCTAGAGCTAAAGTTGTTTGGTCATGATTGGAAATTGTCCTATTTCAATTAGCTGATGTTGCTGGGACTGATAACACCCTAATGGGGATGAAAAACTCCTTAATGTGACAGAAACTGTTAAATTCTGTTTTATTTATTTATTAAAGTTTACCAAATCATACATAGTACTAAATCTACGGTATGTTACAAACTCTTTTATCAAAAATGTATGACAATTTAGGTAAATATAAAAGTTACAAAAAAAAAAAATACCAGAGTAGCCCAAAAAAAATTCCAGCAAAACAGCGGATTAGTTCCGAATCACTTAACAATGATTTCTTTAAAAAGCTTCTTTCTGTTAATATTATTTAAAAACTACTGCTCATTAGCCAGCAACTGCCATAGACTAACAAGAAAGCAAACTTATAACGACTCCTCTAGCTAAAATTGGGACTGTATTTCAAACTTTAAGCTAAAAATATACAGACAATCCCTATCTGGAGTAGGTCGGAATACACAAAGCGAATTTAGTACATTTGCATTTAAACTAAAGCGGGTACATAAAACTTTTTACATCATACTACAATTGATGAAAAACTTTTTGTATGAAGGTAAAATATTAGCATTTTATTCATTGAAATAAATCATCATTTAATTCCAACAATGGTTATATTGTTTCCTTATGTAAATTGAATTATCTTAATAATTTATAAATAAAATAAATCAGTTGCGCTACGACCTCTTTAGGTGTTGGCCTCAGAATTCTAAATCTATTTCATGATCATTTTTAAATCTAATAGGCAAGTAGGTGATCAGCCTCCAGGGCCTGACACACGCCGTCGACGTTTTGGGTCTAAGACATGTCGGTTTCCTCACGATGTTTTCCTTCACCGTTCGAGCAAATGGTAAATGCGCACATAGAAAGTCCATTGGTGCACAGCCGGGGATCGAACCTACGACCTCAGGTATGAGAGTCGCACGCTGCAGCAAAGGATATCGATATGCCACCGCGAGAGGAGGCACAAGAATCAAAATTATTATAACAATTAATACCGAGAGTCACAGCAGACACGGGTTTTTTATAATAAAAACGTGCTCAATAAATTTCAGTTCACTTAGCAATAAATAAAGCAGGCTACGCCTAAACCTAGACCGCAATACTCGTTTCAGAAATAAACCGTGTAACGACACGTAATGGATATAGTGACGTAAAGAACAAACTTGGTGCCAAAATGTGGCCATACAATTCATTTACGAAAGTTTTCCTTTTAATATACTTATGTATTTCCTCTTTGTGGCCAATTCAGGCAATATTTTTACGCCAAGACGATTAAAGTTCTTATAATAGTAATTTATATTATCATATGGATTGATAATGTCTTAATTGAGATTATAGAAAAGAGGCAAACCGGCAAGAGGCTATCCTGATTAGAGATACCGGCACCCATGGACACTCACAGGCTCGCGAATGCGTTGCCGGGTATTGGGCGTTTTTAAATTGGTGCACAGCCGTGATTCGAACACACGACTTCAAGATAGAAAGGCCCGCGTTCAAACCACTAAAAATGTTATATTGTTATATTTGCACCGCCTAAACGTGTATTTCCAAATTCCGTCTGTAAAATCCA